TTCGAGTTGTAAATATCTAATGCCATGAAAATAACCAAAACGTAAACAAAAAAAGGGTTTCTGGCAAAACCCAAATAACTATTTTAAATTTACTTCTAAAGATTATTTTCTTTCTGTCTGTACTAATAATGTATACGAAAAGAATAACTATTAATTACTTGTACTAACAGCGTATCATTAAAAACAAGGTATATTTTCAAAAAGTTTCTAGGAATTTTTTTAAGCTGTAAGAATAAAAATAATTAAATTAAAGCAATCTGCTTCGTTCAGTTTAAACCCTAAGAGGAAGTAGAGGTAATAATAGTTAAAATTCAAAATTACAATTATATTTATACAGTAAAAACTAAGAACAATTTCCTTTCTTTTTCATTTATTGGAAAAACTCAGATGATCAAATTTAATTACGTTTCGTCGATTATTTCGTTTTTCTTCGCTTACGTTTTATATTCTTTTATGAAATTAGCATTAAAAATTAAAGCAAATGGAATTTTTTCGAAAGAAAAAAAACAGAATTAATAATTAGATGATCCATGAAGAAAATTAAATTTCTATAAAAAAGCAAACTAATGTCCCTTTAAGGAAATATTACAAATAATAAAATATTTAAGAAAAAAAACTTCTATTACTGGATCGTTGAAAAGCAACTTTTATAAATGAGGCCTCTTTAGATAAGAATAAGCAATATTAATTTAAGAAAAAGTTCATATATTTAATGGAACATTAAATTATTTCTTTTCCTAATCATTTTCCGCCATTACAAATAGAAATTAAAATAATGATTAAAAGCTCTGTAAATAATGCATTCATTTAAAAAAAAGTGCTTAAAGCACGAAAGAAATCATTTATGAAATATTGATTATTATTCGCTGGTCTTATTAAAAATATCACGCATTCATAAGATAATTTTAAATCTTACATTAGTTAAAACAAGTCCCTTACTTAACGAGAAATTAGAAATGAAAGAAATTTTGAGTAATCATATTTGAAGATATCTTAATTATGAGTTATTTTAAATTACTCGTTTTTAAATTACTCCAAATTCTAGCGTAATCACACGAATGGTGTGATTGCGCCTGAATTTGTTGTAAGCGTTCTCCATTATTGGTGTTTAGATTTAACCACAACTTTTGAAATATATGTGAGTGATCAATTTGATGTTAAATAACATGTTCCTTTACGCAATATTTTGGGTTGTCAAGTTCAGTGAGATATGACACCTCTGTTTTCACAATGTAAGTATAACACAATTGTATGAAAGTTTTCTTCTTTTAACTGACTATTCCTCTTGTAATTTTTCGTTAGTGCAATGATATTTTTAACAAAGAAACTTCGATAAACCTCATTTCCCATGTTATTTTCATGTTTGATGTTGTTATTATGTTAATTTTTGTTCCAAATAAACGTATCCCAGCACTTCTTAATATCTACTCCTATGACATGAATTTTCTTTTTCTTGGAATAAACTTTATATTGCTGTTATTTTTTTTTATTGTTTATTCTAATACGATTGTCAGATGGTGAATATAATTGTCAGACCATACATATTTGTATTTTTTTATTTATTTATTTATTTTGGTTTTCTAACCTACCTTATGTTTTCATTATATCTTATACTATCTTATACTTATCTATATCTTATACTTTGGGGGGCATGAGGAGTTTTCTTGATTTTCAATAAAATATCTGCTTTAAGAAAATAAACCATTCCAAATGCCGTAAAATGCTTGCTATGAAGATGTCTCATTGAAATTTCAGAAGTTACGCCATTATAAGCATCCCACGCAAAGAAATCTCGTCATTTTAAAATGACATTCTCCATTATCTGGCTTTAAACTATTCCATAGAATTTCAAAAACATCGTTTATAATCTATTATGTTTCTTATGTTTTCACTAATGATTCGAAATAAAACAATTATTATCTTTAGTTTTTTTTTCATCATGGTTTTTAGACACGGAAGTGTGTACTTTGTTAGCATTTATTATAAATAGTTATTTGAAATAAAGGTATTTCTAATGTGAGAAGTAAAAAATCAATTTTCAAATACAATTACCATATACTAAAAAATATTTCAAAAATTTAGATAAAAGGAGTCAAAACTTAATATTTAAAGCGTGAAAAAAGACTGTTATCAAAGCCTGAGAAATAACTTTTGAGAAAGATGAGATTTAAAAATATCAGGAACCAGTTTTATTCTGATTGTTTTATCTGTTGGCATTATTGAAAACGAGATGGCTGATGCCTTCGCAAAAGACGCAAGACAATTAAACACCAGCAAAGTTACTCATGTCACTCTCAGCGATATCAATTCAGTGACTAAGGCAAAATTCAATGATAGGAAAATCCAAATCAAACAACAAATACCTGAAATCAGTACCAATAGAACTCTAACACTAACAAGACTCCAGACAGGACTCTATAGGGGGAGGAAGATTCATGGTGACGGAACAAGGACTTACAGCCGCTGCAAAAATTGCCCAGACATAGAACTAACCCCCATACATTTTTTCAGTTGTCCCGCTATACTGGCGCAATTGCAGCAAATAAGTGACAATCCGTGGGCGGACTTATATGAAGAAAATTGCCTTCAAATTGCAGATGTTGTATATAGGACCTTTGATCACATTTAAAATTATTTTCTGTCCACGACACGACCCCAGCCAACCAACCCAGCTAGTTTTATCACCAGAGAAAACTTGGAGAAAGGAAAGATACCGTTAGACCTTTCAAGTTTCTTTTAAAAAATATACTTGTCTAATGTTTTTAAACCCACTTACTTCAATAATGAATCGTGAAATTTTGATAAAGATTTTGTTGTATTGTATATTATATTGTATTGCATTGTAAAATTCTTTTACTGACTCTTATGTGTATCATATCTTACTATAATGATAAATTTTAGTGTTCCTAAATAGCGAAAAGGGTAACGCCTACTCTATTACACGCACCAAGTTGTGTAAAAGACAATTCTTGGTGTAGTATGAAACATCTATATATGTATGACACCATTTACGCCATTTAGTGTCAAGTAGTTGCCACTTCTTGCGACGTTGAGATACACCACATTTTTTTTGAAATTGCACCTTTTTAGCCTGTTTTACAGCTATCATCATTTTAAAGTAAAATTAATGAACTAAAATTAAAATTCCAGAGAATATTTGTAAACTAAATTGGGGGGATTTTACTTCTAAGCATTCAATGTTCTCAAATTAAGTGACAAAATAAATACAACTGTTATTTTTCGAATAAAAGAAAATGGAAAACAAATACCTATGACTTGTGTAACAAATAGCATATCATTATCTTAGTGATTCTCTTTATTAAAGGATTGTATGGCATAACAAGATAAATATCGTTTTAGTTCACTGGTTTATATCATTGATGGTGCTTAAAATAATGTATCGAATCCATTTTCAGCTCATGTAAGATATCAGTTCAATGACTTGAAAAGATTAGAATAAATTACTTCTGGTAAACAAATGTTAGCGTAAGAAATACGCTTAGAGGCCAAATGCGGTCGACTGAATGATGTATTCAAGTTTTTTAATAGAAGTCGGGAACTGTTTAGATTAGTATTCTTATATTGTTTTTAAGGTGCGCCTTTACGAATACTAATTTGAAAGATGTTTTAAGAGCTTAATTAGGAATTTTACTAAATGTGTACACTGGTAATAAAAGTATAGTCAAAACAATCAGAATTGGCAAAAAATTTACCGTGTTTCTGGCTCTATGGGAAATTGAAAATGGCGGTAATTTTTACCTAAGCGCTTTGGAAAAAATAAAATATGGTTTTATTTCCTTCTTATTTAGTTTCAAATGTAGTAAAATTTGGTAATTTTATTGTAATAGCTGAGAGCATGGCATTAAAACCATTCATTCAGTAAAATTTACTTTTCATGTTTGCATTTTTACTAAATGTGTGGAAATAAGAAGTATAATTTTTAAAACCTGACTTTCCAGTAAACCGCAATCATACAAATTGAAAAATAACCGAATGAATGATTTAATTACCTAATATTTTGATTTTATTACCAAAATTTCGATTTTTTTTAAACCAGAAAGGTCGTTTACATACAATACGATAATTTAACCAGAATTTTTTTCACCGTGTAAAAGGGAGTATCATGAAATTATTTAAAATTTCAAGTCGATAAAAAATGTCATATCTTTACCAAAAAAATTTTTAGTCAAATACTTTGGTCTGAAATTTCATATTTTTCGTATGTATCAAAACGTTAACTTCAAAATATTTTTCAAAGCATAACTATAAAATTAATTTTAGTTCCAAAATATCAAGTTTAGAATGTAAACTTGCAGTAAAAAATTATATATAAAAGCAACTTCTAAATCTCTCGGTATCTATACATAAAAAAATTTCTTAACAAATACACATATTTATAATAATCAATCCAATCTTAGGATTGCATAATTATGTAGGTTCTTAGTAACGTTTTGGTTAAATTTTTCTCACGAGTTAATTTCGGAAGACCTAAATATTGCATTTCATTCATAATTTTTATAATTACTTCACACTCTAAACTTTTCATCTTTGAACTAATAAACAAAACTTCTTATATGAAATGAATTATTCTGAAATGTTAAAAATTGATATTGATAGAAATATGTTACCAAACAGAAACCTTTTTAGTTTATAAACATATACTTGAATTTAATAAAGAAATATAAAAACACATTCTGTCATTGCTAACATGAGCGTACTCACTATATCACGTTAATAATTATTATTCGTATACACAAAACAACTACTCATAATGCACGAACACTCGGGCACATACTCATTTGTCATCATGACAAAAATGAGAATAGAAAAAGATGAAAAACTTCACCACAGTAAGCCAATTTATTTTTATTTTACTTTCAACTGAATATATTGAAACAATGTATTTAAGAAAGAAATTTGGTTTTGTTTCAAAAGAAAGTTTTTAGAAACATCTCTTTCTTGCATTCAAGCGATCTCATCCGTAAAGTTTTTTGGATTAACGCGTGAACAACTTACACGGACTGATGCTCAGGTAGGCTAAAGATGTGTATGAAAACAGATGATTCTCATATCTTAAAATGATATTTGTCTCGGTTTCATACTTATTACTTTCATTTCAGGTAAACATATATTTTTTTTGCTAAAAATAACTAAACTAACAATTTTATTCCTAAAAGTTTCTCATTTGATCTCATTCTCATCATGTATGATAATGAATTTTTTTCAACATGATTTTAGTTTGGATAATTTTGGCCCTCTAAAATTTTTTTTCGATGTGAGTCATAGTTGATGTTTATATATCTCATGCAACACAATTGAATTTAAAGAAAAATTAGTTTGGAAGTTGACATAAATCCACATAAAAAGTGCTTGTCTTATAAATCTTTAACTTATTGGCTTATTCTTATCATATGTGATAGCAAGCTCTGAAAATTGTTCTGATGAGCCTTCTGCATTGATGAATGTTTACGCAGCTATTTCTTGGATATTATTTTAGGTATTTATTCTATCATGTAAATTTCAAGCCTAAAGCTAAATTGATGTGGAAGCTTTAATATCATAGCTTAAATATCATGGCTTATTCTCTTCATATGCGACATTAATACCAATGTTTTTCGATGCTGGCCATTTTTACAGTGTTGACAATTGCTTGTGCATGGTCGCATAGCGATTTCGTGCATATTACTATATTTCTACCATCACGTGAGTTTTGAGCTTAAAGGTGCAATAAATCGGCAATTTAAAGAAGATAAAAAGTCCAAATGATAAGTATTTATCATATTATTCTTTCTTTAGACTAATCAGTCTGGTATTTTCATATGTAGTATTAATTTCTTGAAATTGTTTCAATAGAGCTATTTTTTCAGCGTTGATAAGTGTTTGTGCATGTTCACCTAGTTTGCAATTAATGATAATTTAATGTGGAAATAAATAAATAATTTAAACTTTATTTATATCATTTTATAATACTTCGGTCAATCTCATTGGCTTATCATTATTATATATCATTTTTACGTATTGAAGTTTTTTCTATGTGAGCCATTCTATGTCATTCATTCATCATTGTGCTTTAGTAAATGCCTTCCAATGTTCAATTTGTAATTTTTTGTGCATCACTATATCTTCATATAAATTTTGAAGTTAAGATAAATTGATTTGAAAACTTGAAAATAAATAACCCAAATAATTTTTATAGTTTCTAATAATTGTTTTGTTAATCTCATTGGCATTTCTTATCACATGTGATATTAAACTCTTGAAATTTCATCATTGTTTTCGATTTTTTTCAGTTTGAATGAATGTTTGTGCAAGTGTGCATTGTTATTTCATTAGTATTCCTAGATTTCTTCTATCATGTCAGTTTTGAATTTTAAGACTAACTGATATGGAAGCTTGAAGAGTACTAAACCTAAAACAAGTTCTTAACTTGTAATTCTTCATTTGAATTCTTTGATCCATTCCTATTAAATGTGATGAATATGAAAAAGAATGATATTGAACTCTTGAAATTTCGTCATTGTTTTCTATTTTTTCAGTTTGAATGAATGTTTGTGCAAGTGTCCATTGTTATTTCTTTAGTATTCCTACATTTCTTCTATCATGTCGATTTTGAATTTTAAGACTAATTGATATGGAAGCTGGAAGAGTACTAAACCCAAAACAAGCTTTTAACTTGTAATTCGTCGTTTGAATTCTTTGATCCATTTCTATTAAATGTGATGAAGATGAAAAAGAATGATTAGTTATGCAGCTATTATTTCAGTGTTGATTAATGCCTATCCATGTTTCCACGCATTTCGTTGTGCATGATTTAATCTATATCAATGACCTGATGCGCTCTGAACTTTAAGAATAATTAATTTGTCAGTTTGGAGTTCAGAACATACATACAAAGATTATTTTTCTCGTAAGTCTTTATTTTTATTTATTAATATAGCAGTTAATGCTGACAGATTAGGTTATTTGACATATGTGATATTAAATCTACAGACTTTTTCCATATTCAGTCAATATTTACGTAGTATTTAATGTTTTTGTATATTCATGTAACAAATGCTTGTTCGTTATTTCATCAATGTTCGCAATTAAAAGGGCTTTCACTTTAAGGAAGCTAGCTAGTGGTAGAAGGAAAAAACTCAGTTAAACTTTGCCCATTTTATCAAAACAGATATTGTACAGTGAGCAAAAAAAATGAACCACCCTGAGTAACTTTTGATCTTATGATCGGATATTCACGTTCTAGAACTCAATCGTAATGGCTCAAGGGGATGACGTCAAATATAATAATTAAAAATGCAGACGATGCTTTAAGTTACGAAATCAGACACAAAAGCGTACTTTCTATGAATAAACATAAAATCTTTTTGTCAGATTCGAATTTCTGATCCCCTAAATACATATAAGGAGTAGCTGCAATCTGGGAAATATGGTTCCAATAGTTTGGTCGGAAGAGCTCTCCAAACCTAGGACCCCATAATATTAATTTTGCTTTTTGTTTATTTCATGATATCTCAAGAAATTTTAAGCGAATTGAAAAATTTTCGCACACAATTATAAAATTCGTTTATACAAACATAATTACATGCAAAAAATATTTTTTGTAAATACTTGTTATTTATTAAAGTTGGTCGAGAAAATTTTGAATTATAATACATAAATTTTTTTTGCATCATTTTAAGGAAAGTAATTTTACATGGCAAAATACAAATTTTGAGCGAAATCGGTTAAATAGCTATTGAGAAATTGAATTTTAAGTATCTGACTTTTAGAAATTCAATTTCACATAAAATTACATTCCTTAAAAAAAATTGTGTCCTTTATAATTCAAAATTGTTTCGACCATTCATAAATAATATAACAGAAAGTAATAAATGTTTACTGAAAGCTAATTTTGCATGAAATTATTTTTGGATAAATGGATTTTATAATTGTGTGTAAAAATGTTTCGATTCGCTTAAAATGAATCAGAAATCTGAATCGGTTGATCGAAAAAATTTTATATTTATTCAGAGAAAGTACGATTCTGTATCTGATTTTATAACTTAAAAAATTGTCTTCACTTATTATTTAGCATACTTGAGATCACCTCCTCGAGTCATCAAAATTGAGTCCCAGATCTTAAAGATCCAATTATTAGATCAAAAGTTATTAAGGGTGGTCTGTTTTTTGGGCGCACTGTGCATTTTATCAAATTATTGCTACTGATACTCAAAAATTAAAAATTACTACCCAAAAATGTAAATATTAGTCATGAAATTTTCTGCTCTTTTGACATTTCTTAATTTCTGTTTATTTTTAACCAAACATAAATGTTTTATGCTTTTTGCTAGTCTTTTGTCATGGCATAGCATTGATGAAAATAGTTATCTACTCGGTGGAAAAAAAATATATTTTACTTTTCTGAAATTTGTTTTATAATTTGAACCAATAACTAAATTAAATTTTTTTCATAAATTTATTGTATCAAATTATATGTAACATGAAGAAATGGCACGTAGCCCAAGTGTAAAATATTTTCTGAAGGAATTATTAGTCAGTTAAATGTGAAAGCTGAAAAACCAAATCGAAAAAAAAACTTTAATACATTTTTCAAAAATATTAATTTTTTGAAATATTTGATAAAGAACTATTGCTTGAATATACAATAAAGACAATTTTTTTTATTCTTATTAATTACTAACATGTTAGTCATCTAATTTTGTGCTTATGTTAACATTGATTTATGCTTTATAATTTTGTGAGCATGTAAAAAAAAAATATATAAGAAAATGCAAACAAATATAAAAATGAAAATAAAGGTAAATTACAGGAGCAATAGTCATAGCCAAAACTCTGTTTGATGTTAATTTTTGAATTTTAAACGGAAAACAGCTAGGAAAGTTCAGCGCAATCTTAAAGGTTAAATTTTCTTACCGGACAACAGCTTTGGCACTTTTGTTTCATTTTAACAGTTGTCCTCACACCTTATTTATAATTCTTCAATTTTGTGATTCAATATTCATAAAAGTCTTCTAACCGAAATGACTTGCACTGAAAGACCTTCTGAAACGCATCTATTTGTTTTGCAAAATAATATTTTATTTATCTTATATTAAGATTCGGTTTTAGAATTTGAAAATTTTCTACATTCTAAAATAAATAATATTCGCTTATAAATTGTAAAATTGTCCTCTTTTTGTTTGATTTTTTTTTCTCAAGTCTCTCTTTGAATAGTATCATTATTGATTGTTACAAACCATAAAATACAGTTTTATTTTTTGTTTGCCTCAATCAATAGCAATATTTACTTTGCTGTTAGAAAACATAGTAACTAAGAGCTTCCAGGTAAATCAAATGACTATATGAAAAATTGCCTTTAAATGTCTCAAACTAAAGCATCTTTGATTTAAAAAATGTCTTTGAGGGGAAAAAATGCAACGTTTTATTTATGAACTAAGGAAGGCGAAATCATCAGTATCCAACGAAATTTTTTTCTAATTCATAATTCGCTAGGTTTTAAAATATTTCTTACAAACAATTAACTTCCATTTCTTCTATTTTTATTAAATGTTTCAGAAATAAATTTTTATATTATCAAAATTTGTATAAAATTGTGGAAAAAAAAAGTTCAATTTCCATTTTATTATCTAATTATTATATGAAAATACTTTAAATTTTCACTGTTTTAGAGAAGGAACTATTACTTAGTAATAATTTTTTTATTTGAATTTTATTTGTAATTTATATTTTGTATTTTAATATTTTCTTCAACTCTAAAGCAACCTATTTTATTTTTTCTCCTTATTTTTTGATATTTAATTTTTCAAGAATGCGTGACATCAATTGTAAAACTCACCGGGAGCATATAATAACTATGTATAAATCAATTTTTTTCTCCTCTTTTCGGGGAGCTCATTTTATTTTTACACTTAAAAACATTTCTTTAAAATACAAACGAAAAGTAAACAACAAACTTAAAAATATTTCCTCTGTTTATATTCAATCTGAGTTTTTTTTCTATATTTCTTTTCGTTGAACCATTTCTTTTTATTACTCAACTCTAATTTCTACCCCACCAATAGCATAACAATAAAAGATTTGACCAATTAAAGTATTGATTGATTTGAACTTGCAATAAGAATTTTCAAAACAGAACTGGCAAGAAGCAGAAAAAGAAAGATTTCCTTGAGGTCAAGAATACATGTTTATCTTGATAAAACCTGCATTACTGATTCTATCATATATCAAAATTCAAGACACAATAGCCGTTATTACTGAATTGATATTCCATTGAATTACATTTGGGCACGATACATGTCAAATTACGAATATTGTTCTTTTACTATTTCAAAAATGTAATAGAAGATTAGCATTTTGAAAAAAAAGCATGATAATATGAATTTTCTGTATCTGTGTTTAAATCTAGGTATTAAACAAGATACATTTTGAATATTAGCAATAGCATTTGTTATACGAGTAATCAATTTCAAGAGAACAAAAAAATAAAAAAATTACGATGATTTTTTTAAAACTTAATATTCAGTACAAGGATTTTTAAAATTTGCTTTAAGAAATCCTTACTAATCTGTTATTTAATTTCAGGATTTAATTTTGGCTAAAAATTGATGTTACAGTTTTTTGTATCTAGAAAGAAATAAAGATATAAAATAAGGAAAAAATATTTAAAACCCGTATTTTAACTTTTCATTCCAAATGAAAAAATTTATGTGTCATATCTTATTAATGAATAACACATTTTTTGTGCTCAAACCTTCCAGAAATGGTAAATTGTAATTACTATTTATAAAGATATGAAAGAGTTTTAAGGCTAATTACCTTTTTGAATTGCAGCAATTCTGAAATTGTTACTGTTCTCAAAAAATGTTACGTAATTTCAATAATTATTTAAATAATATGCTAATTTTACGCAATAGTAAACATTTATATATTCACTCATAGGAATGTTAAATATACTTTTAAAAATTGGTTTAACGTTGAACCGTAATGCGGAGAAAGTTTGCTGTCTCCTTATTAAGGGGATAAATTGAACGATGTTTCCATTAAAATTGGATCACTATACCATGAAATCAAGTTTAAGATGGAAGTATTTTCTGTTCATCTATATTTTTTTTTGTAACCGGTGTTAAGCAGCTGACCCAGTTTTGGTTATTAAAGCTATCAAATCTCAACTCCGTAGTCTTGTAATTATGAACCCAACCCAGAAAACTAGAGAACTCCTGGATCAACCATTTGAACAAACTAGTTTTCGTTTTTATTAAAACTGATCCACATTTGCGTAACATGGAGATAAAAACTGCTAAAAACTCCCAAGGTTAGTCCGGCAGCAAAGGGATTCCAACCCATGAGCCCTCTACCACTGAGAATTTTAACGTCAGCACTGTCGTCGGTGCGAGCTGGCAGCATAATTCGCATCGATTTGTCATCGTTGAGGTTCGAACCTGGGTTGCCTTATTGGAAAGCGAATGCTCTTTCACACTGCCTAAGACAATTTTCTACACTAACTGAAATAACAACAAAATTCTCTAACCTCCGCATAATGAAATGTTCTCTCCTCTGCATATTTGAATCCTCTGTATATTATCCTTTCTATATTGAATAACTAAATAATGAAAGATAAATTGGTAAAAAAATAGAAGAATGAAATTATAATAAATAATTGGGATGGATTAAAATCAATATTTTTCATTGAGCTTTCTGAATAATTTCAAAATTCCAATAGAGTCTTTTTCACTTTAAACTTATTAAAAACCGAATTTATTGAATTTTGAGCTAATAACAAATTATTATTATTTTTCCTAATAACAAATAACTTTATTTTGCGACTTCTTAGACGGTTGAACTGATCAGGTGCAGTATATTTTCTTCAGATTGCTAAAAATAACACATAAAGAAGGCCAGATCATTTATGAGCATAAGAATAGAGCTTCTTTTAAATAAAGTGCATTTTAATAAAATTGATAATATATTATTATAAAATATTTTATAAAAATGATGTGCAGTGCGCAGAATGAAAAAAAAAACAGACCACCCTGAATAACTTTTGATCTAATGATCGGATCTTCACGTTCTATCTTAATTGTTTATGGGGTGACTTCAAATATGCTAATTAAAAGTGCTGACGATATTTTAATCTACAAATCAAACACAAAAACGTACTTTCTCTGAATAAACATGCCTTTTTGTTGCTGATGGATTTGGATTTTTGACTCCCAAAATATAGGGGTTAGCCACAATCTGGGAAATGTGGTCCCAATGGTTTGGTCAGGAGTGCGGTCCGAAGTTTGGACCCTTAATGTTAATTTTACTTTTTGCGCATTTCTCGCGGTTTTTAAAAGCAAATTGAAAAAATTCTGCATGCAATTAAAAAATTCATTTATCCAAAGATAATTGCGTGCGAAAAATAAATTAAAAAAATATTTAGTATTTTGTTTTATTTTATTTAATACAAGTCGAAAAATTTTCCAATAGTAAGGTAAAAAAAATTTTTACATAATTTTAAAGAAATTTTATAGCACATAATATTACATGGCTAAATACAAATTTTGAGCGAAATCGGCCGAATAATTCCTGAGAAATTGAATTTCAAAAAAGTCAGATTCTTAAAATTCGATTTTTCAGGAACTATTACTCCAATTTAATGAAATATTGTATTTTTCGTTGTAAAATCATTTCCTTCAAAATGACATAAGATATTATGTACCTTAAAGTTCATATTTTTAGTAAAAAATAAAATAAAATAAAATAAAATAAAAAAAAATAATATAAAATAAAATAATAAAAAATTATAAATATTTACTAAAAGTTTTTTTTTTTGCAAGGAATTATCTTTGGATAAAGGAAATTTATAATTGTGTTCAAAAAATTTACAGATCATTCGAAAAAGTCAAGAGATATGGTGAAATGCTCGAAAAATAAAATTAACAATAAGGGGTTCAAACTTTGAACTGCTCTCCTGACAAAACTGTTGAAACTATATTTCCCAGATTGAGGCTACCTCCTATATTTTGGGGGTCAGAAATCCGAATTCGTCGAAAAAAGGTTTATTTGTTCAGAGAAAGTACGTTTTTGTGTCTGATTTCGTAACTTAAAATATCGTCTGCACTAATTAGTTAACATATTTAAGGTCCCTCGAACCACTAAGATTGAGTTTTAGAACGTGAAGATAGGATTATTAGATCAAAAGTTATTCAGGGTGGTCCATTTTTTTATTTTCCGCACTGTACTATAAAATATATTTTTGTCCGCATTCTTTCATGATAGAATCATATGTTATTATACTGTTCATCTATTGAACATTTGATATTGATTTCTTCATTCATAATCCTTTGACAGTATTAGTTTAGTAATATACATGTTATAAAATCCTGCCATAAATTCTGGTCATATGAGCTCTTTTAAATTATGATTAATATGATTACACTATAAACATTTTGAAAATTTGAAGATGAATAATGAAACAAGTCACTATTATTCATTTACTGAATATTGTAAATATTTACAATAATGTCTCCTATATCAGGTATTTAGTACATAGGGTCTTTTTAATTGTCGCTTTTTACTATGGATCATGAATTTTATTCTTGAATGCATTTTTATTCCTTGTGCGTTGTCAGATGTAAAATAATCTTATTTATATTATTTAGTGAGTAGAACCAATATGTTCAAAAACGTGTTTAAAAATATATTTTTTTAGGAGATGACGAAATCTTGGATAAAGTTATTAAAGTTATGTATTTTAGTTGAATTATGCAGTGCTGTACAAACGTCCTTCTTCGGTGACAAAACACTTAAAGGGACGTTGTTAAGTATGTATTTTTATTGTATTTATTATCTTTTGATCCTTTAATCGTTTACATGAAAACATTAAATAAGTTAAATTTAAGAATATCAAAACATCTACTACTTGTAAGATTTCTAATAATTTTTTAATGTATTAAATTAGTTTTTTTTTCTTTAATTTTTGTGGTATTTTTTCTAAACAATTCCTTTTCCTGGGCTGAGAACTTGTTTATGCCCAGATAATTTGGGCTAGTTTTTTCCCCAAAAAATATGTATTTTTTTCATCGATTACATCTTATAATATTTAATAGAACTACAACAAAATTAAATATAAATGTCTAGAATTATGCAAGTTTCAACATTCGAAATATCAAGTACTTTATTTACTATAGAAGTTCAGTATACTGCTACGCAGTAACATTTTTTTCAACAATTTATTTTTATTAAATAAAATACAACAGGAGTGTATTTTTCATTATAAAAATAATTCCTTTATGCTATAATTATTTTAATGCAAGTAGTTCCTTGTTATAAGTACTTTATTTCCATTGATTACATCTTATTACATTTTAAACCTAACTGCAAAAAATTCCAGTAAAAAATATTGGTACCTTAAGTTCAGCATGCGTAAAATTGTTTACAGTGATTTTTTACAGTAATACTTTTTAATTTCTGTAAAAATTACGACGTATCAGATTTTTTGTTCCATAAAATTTTATGATAAAAATGGGTTTTACGGTAAGGAGTAACAGCACTCAGGGTGCCAGTAGTTCTTACCATAATTATATTCTAAATTTTTTACAGTGTAAAAATTGAAATAAGTTTCTGAAATTCTAAAATTTTCAAGATCAGAAGCATCAAAGTATATAATTTGGTCCAAAAATTTAGTAAACAGCCAAAGAATACCTAAGGTAAAACATTGTTTATTAAATTTATTTCTTATCAGATGAAGTGCAGCAAACGAATAATTTTTCGATGTAAAAAAAATCATTGGATCGTTAAGAAGAAAGGTATCTTGAAAATAGAACAGCTTGAATAAAAATAAGTATCATCTATAATATAATGCCACAATTTATGGATTTATGTGTTACAGGAATCCCTAAAAAGTGCTATTTATAAACTTACAGCACCAGATTATTAAGAAATAGAATTATAGAGTTACATTTTTTTTGTTGATATAAATCGAAATACGGAAACAATTTTTAATGAAGGATACTCATATTTTGAACTGAAGTGCTTTTTGCGCCTAAGAATTCTTCATTTTTTTGTTCTTTTGCTATCATTAAGCTCAATTTTCATAGTTACTAAAAGACATTTTTTGCAAATAGCTGATTTTATAAAGCATAAAATATGTATACACACTATATTATATTGCCGGGTTATAATTGAAACATTTCCATTTCTAAACTTTTGATTCTTTGTTTGCCTTTAATTAAGTAAAACTAATATAATATAATATAATATAATATAATGTAATGTAATGTAATGTAATGTAATGTAATGTAATGTAATATAATATAATATAATATAATATAATATAATATAATATAATATAATTATGAATATAAATGTTAATGCTAATACTAATATGCAAGATTTGAGGAACTGCTAACAACAAAAAATTAAAAGAATAGAAATACGAGATAACGCTAAGCAATGGAATACAAATGAATATGCATTTGAAATCTTTTACGGTTCAAATTTTACGCATACTTGGTTTAGTTGCAGTTTTCTAATGTTCTGTTAAAAGTGGAGAATGTGAGTTAAAATATTCTTTAAAAGAAATTACAATATTTCATGTTTGGTATGTATCAATTAAAGCAATAATTTGTTCTAGGCAAACCTGTATTAACCATTGTGCGCTTTTTAAGTATCCCATGCTCATCACCCAATGGTCAAATGTCTGGTGTTTGTTATTCTCTTAATGATTGCGTCAGAATGAGAGGAACTCAAATAGGAACTTGTGCATCAGGTTTTGGTGTTTGTTGTATATGTAAGTGTTTCAGAATTTATTTCTGTAAAAATTATGTATGCAATTAAAAACGGAACTTGCGAATAAGGTTTTGACCTTTGTTTTAGATGTAAGTGATTTATAATTTTTAATTCATTTATATAAATACCAAAGCTAATAAATTTAATTAGTAACTGTTAATTTATTTATTCATTTTTGCTCATGAATTTGAACTACTTAACATTCTACATTTCATTACACTCACATAATTATATTAACATTTTATACTTATAAAGTGGTTAATTGGTTTTGGTGTTAGACATTTCAATTACTTATTTTCTTATGATTAACGTGTCGCAATCTAATATAAACTTGCCATCTTTAATAATTCGAATTTCGGTGATTTGTCTAAAAGTGCAAATGTTCAAACAAATTTGTAAGAACTAAGGTTTATTCGGACTAACTAATTTGAATTAACTAATATTCATAAAATTGTCTCTTTAATTGGGAGATTTTTGTTTATTCTAGTGTTTTATTCAAAACTCATCCGAATGTGTAATTTTTTTTAAAAAAAATTATGAATGTTCCTTTAGTTTAAGGTATTTATGTATTTATAACTTTTACTCTGTTTCCGGTAACTATTTTTCTAAGCATGCGTTTCAATATTCATCTTAATTTCAAAATTTAAAAGTTATTAAAATTAAAATTCCTTTTATATGTTTTCTAACAAAGCCGCATATTTGGTAGTAGTCCTTAAAATAAAGAAAATTAATATCATTACCAGAACTCGATTTTTGTGATTTTAAAAATTAGGGATTAAAGAAAAACAAAATTTCTCGTAGCTAAAATATTACTTTCTTCTTTTCTTTAACTTACTATTAATGAAAACCAAAACTTAGTGTTAGCAACGAAGTGACAATTTTAAAACTTAGCCTTTTCTAGAAATAAAATATCTTTTTTATCAATTAAAGACAAATCATTAAAAACTTCAAAAGTAGGGAATTGCTATTAAAATTTATCTTGAAACGTTCTTTAGTATATTTAGTATAAAAATAAATAGTTTAATGGTAAGAAATTTTGTCGGAGATAATTGTCTGGGAAGTAATTTTTTCTACTTGTAATACTAACTGCAAATATGGGAGAAATAATATTTTTTATTTTCAATTGAGCTTAATGAGATTTTTTTGCATCTTTTTATTACAATAATATATATGTATCTGCTAATAGAACTATTGTTTTTAATCACTGATGATTGGATAGAACCACTTAATATTAGACTATTTACTAAAATGGATTTTTGCTAGCTTTTTGGAGATGTTTACAACATGCTAAAAACATCTTTTTTTAGAATTCAATATTTTTCTCTCAATTTAATACCATGTTTACGTGTAACTTAAACTGTTATGTTATGTGTATTTTTGATAGTTCAGAGAACTTGTGGAACAGCGACTAATCAAAACTCAACTCATTTTGTTAATCCTGGATACCCAGAAGTAATCGAAGAAACGTCTGATACAACTTGCACCATATCATTATATCGCCCACCAAGAGTTCCAATTTGCCAAGTACGATTAGACTTTCTAGAATTCGATATTACTAAGCCTACTAGTGGAGATTGTCTTGATGATCAACTTACTATTACTGGAAGTAATGTAAATTCACCTATACCTGTATTATGTGGTCGAAATGCAGGGCAACATGGTAATATAATATAGTTACTTTTTCAATACTTTACAATTCAACACTGAACCATATGGGGCTAATTTTCTGCACGTTTAATCCAGTTTTGAATTGAACCTTCCAAGTTGATATTAGACTGATCCCATTCAAATTTAAACCAAATAAATTTGCGATTATATCCATAAACTTTGCACCTTTTTTAAAGGTATCAGGTTCAACTTCCCCCATTCTTCATGTTAACTTATAGAGGATTACATGAAAACAATTTCCCCACTTATTATATGACTATTAAATATTTTTCAATATTTTTCATCATTTTATTCTTATTTCTTAATGGCACTTAGTTAATTAAAATTTTTAAATGTCTTTTAAACTAGATCAAATTTTACTAAGGTGACAATGATAGCTTAGAATACATTTTGAAAATACTTTAAGTCTTTAAAATCAGTGTTTGGAAGCATACTTCCATTAAAAACTTTTTGAAGAATAAAATGAAATATTCCAAAATATTAGTTATGGACTTTAAAAATAGGGAAATAGCATTTATATTATTCATCATAGGTTAACATACGAGTTGTGTATTTACAAAATTTGCAATATCAGGTGAATTTCGAGTGGTACATAATTTTTATCAAGAAATCTATTCATTGATTTAATTACATAATTTCTTAATTTCTTTGAACTTTCTGATAAAATAATAATTTTTCATTTTTGAAAGTGATATGATTAAATTAATTGTTATGCTTTTGATTATAGTTTACATTGATGTTGACAACAGCGTTGGACCCGTTCAGTTGACAGTATCTACAAAAGGAGTTGGACGTCGAAAATGGAATATTAAATCTTCATTTATTGAATGTGCAAATCCGTCTAGAGGTAGAAAATTTTCCAATTTGCTTTTAAATATCTAAAGAAAATATGAACTACTTATAATCATTTCACTTTAATCTATGAATTTAATCTATGAATAAACAACAAGTAAATTTTTGAATCTTTAAAAAACGTGCCTATTGTTTTCAACTCTGCGCACTCGATTTTTCTAATTTCAAATAATTAAAATTACAATTTTTCTGTTTCATTTGTAATTTGAAACATATATTCTTTAATCATATTGCAGTGGAAGATGGTAAAACAATTTTGGCTTTTTCTAAATATTCCACAAGTTTTTATCTCTTAAAATAAAAATATAATTATAACTATCGCATACTTGTTTTATGGAGGGAGGAAGGAAAAAACTTATTGTACACGAAACTAATTTCATACCATTAATTATGGTGCCAAACCAATAAAACCTCAACTATATAAAGCGTCGCAAAATTTTTTCTTTGAATATTTATTCAAGTAACTGTGTATATCATTAGTGCAGTTAGATATAAGGTTAACGAAAAAATATTGCTTTAAGAAAATGTGTTGAACCCTGCGTACTCAACTTTTCAAAATTTAATGATTTCGGTAAGATTTTATTAAAGTTAAAGATTTTCAGTTTTGTTTGAAAGTAGAAACTTCTATTTTCCATTTGTATTACAATAGGGAAAGGAGAAATAATTTCGATATTTTCCAAAATTGCTCCATGCCTTTTTCTTTCCTTAAATAAAACTGTAATTGTACCTATAACTTTCTTATTTTAGGAGAAAAAGTGAAAAATCTTACTAAACACAAAAATTTATTTTATAACATTAATTACGATATAGAAACTAACAAAGCGTACTAATTTTTTTTCTAATATTTATTTAAATAACTGAATAATTGCCCAGTTCAATTCAATATTTAATCAGTTAGATATCCGGTTAATGGAAAAGTATTACTTGTACAAAAATTAACGCTCTCGAATTTTCAAACTTTTATAATTTCTACAAGAAATCATTTAAGTTCTCTTCAGTTTCGAAAAATTAAATCATATATCTTCCAGTTGTACAGTAAGCAGAAAAAAACGGACCACCCTGAATAGCTTTCGATCTAGTGATCATATCTTCACTTTCTAGGACCCAATCCTAATGGTTCGAGGAGGTGACCTCAAATTTACTAATTAATTTGTGCAAATGATAATTTAAGATACGAAATGAGACACAAAAACTCACTATATGTGAATAAACATGCATTTTTTTAAAAGGACTCGTATTTCTGACCTTCAAAATATACGGATAGTCGCAATTTAGGAAACATGGTCCCAAAAGTGTGGTCAAAAGAGCAGTCGAAAGTTTGAACCCCTTAGTGTCAATTTCACTTTTACCGTATTTCACCAAATTTCAAGAATTTTTTAAGAGAATTGAAAAAAATTTGCCGGCTATAGAAAATTCTTTTATCTGAAGATAATTCCATGCAATGATTAAATGAAGGTAATTCCATCCAATGCAAAATTTGAGCGAAATCGATCGAATAGTTCCTGAGAAATCCAATTATAAGGAAGTCGTCTATTTAAAATCCAGATTCTCAAGAAATATTCTGCCGATTATGCTCAAATTTTGCATTTTGCCAATTTTAATTATATTCTTTAAAATGATGTAAAAAATTGTACACAATACTTTACTATTAAGAAATTTTTTTACTATTATTAAAAAGAACAATAAAATTTTTTAAATATTTACTAAAAGTTATTTTTTGCATGAAATTATCGTTGGATAAACGAATTTCGTAACTGTGAGCAAAACTTTTTCAATTTGCTGAAAACTTCTCGTGATTAGGCGAAATATGCAAAAGTAAAAAGAACATTGAAGGGTTCAAACTCTGAACCCCTCTTTTGCTTCTACCTTAGGATCATATTTTTCAGATTGCGGATACCCCCTATATTGGTGGGGGGAGGGGGGTNNGGGGGGGGGGGGGGGGTCTGAAGTCTGAATCCATCAAGAAAAGGCATGTTCATTCAAAGGAAGTACATTTTTTGTCAGATTTCGTAGCTTAATCGTAATATCGTTTTAATTAATTAGCATATTTGAGATCTCTACCTCGAAACATTAAGTTTGAGTTGAACGTGAAGATGCGATAATTAGATCAAAAGTTATTCAGAGTAGTTCAATCCGAGAGTGAGTCAGTTCCATCCGTTTTTTTTAAGCACTGTACTACAAACGATAATGTTAAAGTGATTTTGGCATCTTGCAAATACTACACGTGCTTTTCGTTCTTTAAATAAAACTATAATTATGCGTATTAGTAACTTACTTTAAAGGGAAAAACAAAAGACCTTATTGCGCAAGAAGACTAATTTTATATCACTAATTACGGTACTGAACCTATAAAACCTGAACTATACAAAGCGTACTAAAATTTTCTTCTAATATTTACTTAAATAGCTGAGGCGAAGAAAAACTCTGTAATTCAATATGGAGTTTGTTCCAAACAAAAGTCAGTTGTTTGGGTGAAGAACATCTACCTTTACTCTAAAAATACGCCCCAGGAGTAGCGAACATGCAAAGAATCTAATTATATATTCCGGAACATGCATGTATGCCACTTTGCTAGGTAATCAATAGTGACCTCTTACGGGCGTCTTAAACTTAAGAAGAGGTGCACAGATAAATGGCTGAGGAACATCTACGATTTTTAGTGTCCTTAAATGTCGCACTCCCCAAGGGGTCACTGGGTTAATTACTGCTTTTGAGGCTCTGAAAGAGGAACCTGAAATTCACAGACGAGACAAAAACGATTGACGGCATGCTGTTTTTTAGATTTCACTATCATCAAATGAAGTTCTTTATCGGAAGAATTGTTTCTTTTAAGCAAAAACTTGAAAAGTAGAGAAAAGATTAGTTTTATTAAGAATTTTATCAAAGAAATTCTCGCTAATGAAGCATTTTCCTTCTTTAATGGTTTTTTAAAGTAAGAAAAAGGCATTGAAGTTTTTAACTCTAAGATTTTCAGATTCAGTTATTATTAATTTAAAACATAAAATAAATACCAATGCAAGATAAATATTTTCCTATGAAGAAGTTCTTTTTAAGTACAAGTTTGAAAATTAGAGAAAAATTAAGTTTACACTACTTACAAAGGAGATTTTCAAAGAATCTATCGCTAAGGGAGCAACTTATTTTTTTTAACATTAATGCCTTTTAAAGTAAGAAAGTCTCGAAGATTTTCTAAGCTTAGAGTATAAGTTATTTTTTCAACATTTTAGATTATATGTACATGTTATCTGTAAAACAAGTTCACTGGAACTTTTTATTCTGTTATGTATAAAATTAAAATGTTAATTGTGCTCATATTCTCCTAATCACCCAAATTTAACGACACACAACAATATTTCAGCTCCACCAAATTGTCTCCAGTATTACACAGGACCAGAAGGTCGATTTTCCAGCTTTAATTACGTACCAGGAGAAAGTTCTGCACAAAGTGGTGGATACCTCAACAATCAAAACTATGCCATTTGTTTCCGTAAAGAAACTGGACGATGTTCTCAAACATACACAGCAGATTCTATAGAAAGTTTTATACTGTTAAACTTGAATTCAAATAATTCACCTACAGTTGGAGGTGGTGAAGCAGGACTAGGAATCGTTGAGTGTCCAAGTGATTATCTTAGAATTGGAGGAGATCGGTACTGTGGTGCAAGACTTAATCCTACGACAACATCACCAAATCCCACTGTAAACGAGCCTGTCATTGGTAACACTTTATCCAGACTTTATTCACTTAACTATTCTGAATTTCAATTTTCTGAATGAATTTTAGTAAAAAATAGCTTTGAATTGTTTCATAAAATACAGAAGTAATATCACTTTCTTTTACTTATTATGATCTTGATAAACTTCAGTTTATTTTTTAAAAAAAGAAATGAAACCGAAGATGAAAGAAATGATCCCAAATAAATTGTAATGCGATAACTCATATTTATATTTTATTCAAAAAATTGCTATACAAATACCATTTAAAGATTCTGAAAATACCACCATTAATATGATAATTTACTAAAAACTGTTTTCTGTTTTTTCATCATTCCAATTTTTCATCATTTCATCTACCTTGCATTTAGTCAAGATCAAAGGAAAAGATATTTTGTGTTTCATCATGACGAAAATCTTGTAATGTGTAGTTAGTTTTAATTAAAAGAATGTTTAAATATCATGCAGCTGAATTTTTCAATTTGAAAATATAATTAAAAACAACTTATAGCAAGGATATCGCAAATTATTAAATAACCTATTTCCCATCATTTGTATAATGCTTGCTAAAAATGGACGGTTCTATGTTGCATTGTCTGAAAGTATTAACGCATAAAATCGCTCTAACTTTAAAGGCCTTTAAGACTCTTGGGCAAAATACTCTATTTTTGTAGACTTCAGTAAGCATTATTATTAGAAATAAAATTGTCTTAAAAGAATTTCATTGGGTAAAAATTGATTAGGCAACCTCATAAGGTTCCTATTAAGGTTCAAACTAGCCAAATAAAAATCAGCTTGGTTTACTTAGGAAAAAAACTGCAACCAGAATCTTTTGTATGTTTCATGTATGTTTTTTTCTGGGAAGTACTTTGATATCTCCTTTGAAAATCTTGTTATTTAATTTTAAGCTAGGTAAAATAATTGAGCTAGGTATGAATCTAATATATTTAGTCGTATTTATCTAATAAATTTGCAATATTTTTACAACTTGTCAATGCATAATAATTTTTTTTTCATGCTGTTTTTGCATACTCTTTTTCAGATTACTCTACTGGACCATTTACTGCAAGTTTTACTACCGATTCAGCGAATAATGCTATAGGCTTTAATTTGTCATATAAACAAAATCTATGTGGTTCTTTAGGATAAAGAGGTGGTATCAACATCTAAAAAAAAGCATGAATATTTAACATTAAGACATCCACTGATATGTTTTGAGATAATATGGCCAATGAGAGACTCATGATTTATACATTTATGTCATGAGTATGTTTCAAATACTATCAACGTACAAAAAATGCTGAAAGTCATACCTTCCAGTCGACGCCCAATCAGAAAAACTGCATTTATTTGATCAATACATTTTTAAAATATGTGTATTCTATGATTATTGTTTTGAATCATAAATTTTTAAAATTGTGTTTTCAAGGAATGAGTTTTGAATGAATTATCACCTGAATAAATAAATAAAAACGAATAATATTTGAATTTATTTGTATTCTTGCATAATTTTATTTAACTACGTTATGAGATGACTTTTAAAATTCATAAAAATGTCAAAGTGAGGTAAATAAAATATTTTCTCATTAAAAACAGCTTTAGGAAGTAAATTTTTTTTACCATAATATTTTATCAAACTTGAACATTTTCTTATGATGATGAACTTAAAATTTTCAAAACTTGCTAAATTTAATCCCTAAAGTATGTTTTTTTAGAAATTATTGTAAAGACAGTACGAAGTTTAACCATTTGTAGTCGTGCACTGTAAAAAATTTTCGTGTATCTAAACAACCAAAAATGGTGGCAACTACTTTACACCAAAGTAGTGTTTCCCTACACAAAGAACCATGGATAGTACCTGGTAAAGTGAAACACCTAAAATGTACTTTTACACTACTTGATGTAAAGTAGTCTCCACCAAGTTTGTTATTAGTAACACTAAAATTTATAATTACAGTAAAATATAAATACACATAAGAATTAGTAAAGTTATTTTTACGAGGCAGTATTAAGTTGTTTGGTAATTTTAGTTGCATACCTACGGTTAATCTTAAGATAAAATTAATTTGTAAATCGAACATACGCGTAGCACATCGAGAATATTGTTCGAACTAGGCTTAACAGAGCAGAAGCGTACAGATATTATACACTATCCTAGAACAATGAAAAAGACACTTTCAGTTTTCGACATTTTTCAAAATTTCTTTAGAAATACACAGAGAATTAATTTATAATGTTAGAGATGTTGGAGTCATAAGTATCAATGAAGTTTAAGATTTCAGAGGTTTGAGGAACCGGCAATAAATAACGAAATAAAAAAGGTTTTTTAACACTCTAATAATATAGAAAATATAGCAATAAACTTTTAATTTGTATCAATTACTTTGGTTATCATATGCAACAACTGCACAAAATTCTTTTAACGTTGTTTGAAAAATCGTGGAGATATGGACATTTTTATATTAAAAAAACTATATTTTTGTCCTACGTTTTTTTACTCTAACTGTTGAAAATTAAATAAAATTAAAAAGAAATTCCGGAGTAATTTTTAATTAATAACTAAAATATCATTTCAAAACAAAATTATGAAATTTTCTTAATGTTCTCCGTGCATGCGCGTTAGTAAATGAGTTCTTTAAATACTCATATCTTGCAGAATTTTTAACAAATTTGTTGTCAAATTTTAAAATGGTATTTTTGTCATTAATTAAAAATAACTCCCAAAATGTTTTTAAATTTTTTTAATAATTTTTTACAGTTATAGTAAGAAAATGTAAGACAAACAAATTAGTGTCAGTAAAAAATGTCCATATTTCCATGACTATTTAGGCTAGGTTTATGACTTTTTGTGCATTTATTGCACATGATAACCAAAGTAATTGATACAAGCTACAAGCTTATGACTATGTTTTTTCATAGGTTATTGCAGATTGATAAGGTAAATTTATTGAAATTGAACAACATAATTTATCTAAAAAAATGCGATTTTTGCTATAAAAACGTAAGTTATCTAATATTACTGAATGTACGATAGAATAGCATCAGCCAAATAGTATTAGCGGAAAAAAATATTGCAGTCCTTCAGGCTAAGTTTATTGAAATTGAATAACATAGAACTTACTTGATTTATCTAAAACAAAAAATTTGAGGGGGGGGGATTTTGAAAGATGTAATTTATCAGATATAATAGAATGCAAGGTTTGAACATTTATAATTAATTATGAATCCCATGAATTACGTTTCCTACGTTGATAAATTAACGATAATTCACATTTCTTTCACTAAGTGAAAATTATCATCAAAACTAATAAAATATGGTAAAATTTGCCGTGTTTCTAGAACACCGTTTGGTAATGACTTCAGGTTAAAATAACAATAGAATATGGTTTTATGATATTTGATAAAATTAAATGAATGGGGTAAAATTCGGTAATTTTATCATGATACCTTAGAAGTTGGCATAAAAGCTATTTATTTAGTTGGATTTACTTTTCCAATGAATTTTTACTAAATGTGTGTTAATAAGAACAATAATTTTGAAACCAAAATTTTCGGTAAACCGTTACCATGTGATCGAAGGAATTACCAAATAATTGGCGTAAATACCGTATATTTTTGTTTTATTACCGAATTAATAGTTCATTTCAAGAATAATTTGATTACCACCCAAGTACGGTAATTTTACCAGAAATTTTTTACCATATATTATTCCATATAATATTCCATTATAGACTATAAATTTCCTAAAATTATATTCGGACATATAACTATTATTCTAAATTAGTAGTACTCAGTAAAATTATCTTTAACTATTAACTAAGAAAGCATTAAAGAGATAAGTACAAGCTAATCTGACAAGCAAAGGTGGCCGGAGTGCTGTGCTGACCAAACTGACAAAATCACATCGTGTCACCTTCATGACCTCTCTGGTCGACTGGTTGTAATGAGAGTGCTTTACTATTAACTAAACATATATGTAAAAGTTAGAGTAGTAAGCAAATCTATTTTAAAACATATTTATTTATATTATTGAGTACAAAAATCAATGATAATGAAATTATATATACTTCATGATTATAAAATGGTATATTAAGTTTATAGCACCAAAGTAACTTAGTACCAATATTTAAATAAAGAAAATGATGCAGTTTATAAGCCTGATGAACAAGAATATTGTGTATACTTGAAACTAAAACCAGTATCATGTATTGGACTGGTTGCATCTTCCTGGTGTTTATCGTCACTCGCAAATGTAATAACCATAGGTCCAGTATTACCTACGACAAATAAGAATGCATATTTTATAAATGTTTTATAAATAATTAGACAACATTTTTCTTTTGAAATCAGTATTACTTCTTTTAAAGGGAATCGTATCTAAATCAGTATTGTTTTATTTATTTCATTTTCAGCTCAGACTATTATGTAAAAGCGGTTCTTTAATTTTCTCGATTATAGAACTCTAAATAATCAAATTTATTTCAGCGGAAGCCGACTTTATAAAAGGCATCTCGGAATAAACTAACCAAACAAAGACTATTGAAATATTTAAGATGAAGAATGAAATATTTTCAATTAAGCTGAATTATGGTTTCCAAAAAAGAATTGTTAGAAGCAGTGAGAATGGTTATCAGAGAAACATAATTCTATATCCTTCGATTTGGCTATTTTATTTTGAACTGAAAATTTTGATGCGAAATACTGAAATAATTTTTATAAATGGCTATCTTTTTCATAATTTATTCAATATATTACTGTTGAAAAAAAATTTTACTATTTTTTTCATTGGGAGTTTGCTTAAATAATTTCATATATAAAATCGAAATATTAAATATATTATGGATTACTGAGTTGATATAAATGTAATTACATGCTTAAAATTAATGTTGGTTAAAAAAAGTTCTTGGAACCACTGAGATTCTCCTGGGTTTCATTAAACACTTTTTTAGGAACAACAGTTCTAAAGCGTAATCTAAATCTCAAAATAACAACCACAAAATTAGCATAAATTTCATGATTTTTATGAGTATGATTTTTATGATTGATAGATTATAATTTTTATGTCAATAAGGAATTTTGCACAGCATTGAGTATTAAAAAACAAGGAAAAACTCAAAAAAGTGTAGAAAAAAGACTGCAAAAAACTCTCATAAACTCAACAAACAGTAAGACAAAAGTAAATCATTAAGCGCAAATTTATCGTAATGAGGAAAAATACAGAATGATATGATTTCGGTGCCCATGTTTTTAGCAAATTATTCGTAATTTTAAAGCAGTCCTTAGTCTCTTTTCCACATTTACACTTAACAAAACAAAAACGTAACAGATTGATTTTTAAAGCAATATAAATTATCGAGTTAACAAAAAAATAGGCATACATAATTAAATTTTTAATCAACTTAAATACACAAAATTGATATTTTAAAGTATATTTTAATTTTATAATAATTGATTTTGACAGTCAAAACTTGGATTGCTTTGAGGAGTTTTCGAAGGAAAGCACATTTGAAAGTTAATTTTTATTTGTTGAATATTTCAAAAAAGTTCATATCAAAGTTATAGTTAAAATTAATTGGATGTTTAAGTAGAATGCTAGGAATAAAATATCACTAAAGCTTTAAACGACGCATAATTTAAACTGATTTATATGTTATCGAACGAACGGAAGAAAATAACATGATATTTCACCATTTTGTTATCAACTTCATTTTCTATGAAAAGCTATATTTCCGAATACATTTTTCATTTCAAAAAATTGTCATCTGACTGCCATTCTAACATAATTGGCATACTGACTGCCATTCTGACAGTCTTTATATTTTTAATTTTTTAATTAATATACTATTTTCCTGTCTGTATGTTACGAATTTGTATTAATGCTATGCTTCGTGCATATTTGTCTGATATTGAATGAATATCTCCAAGTCATTTAAAATAAAATGTCATAAAAAATATTGCGATGTCATTTAAAAACTTAAACAGAAGGTGCTTCAACGACGCTTCGCTTATTTTTAGAAACCTCGTCAAAAAGTATGCACATTAAGAGCCATAAACTAATATTCAAGGGAGAGAAAATAAAATAAAAATGCTATAGAAATCTGGCGAAACTTTAGTGAGGAAGGTGGGATGAAAAACGAAATCATATTTAGGATCTGGTGCAACTTAGAGGTGTTTTTAAGAATCACCTTTTAACTCCTTTTTCTGAGCAATAAAATAGGTTTAGATCTTTTCAAAATTTCTTAACTTACCACGGTACTGATTTGTTAGGTTTCAATAGCATTTTTGATTTTTTCAACTCTTAAATATTTATTTGTGGCCCCTAATACGCACAGTTTTTTTGCCTCATTTTTAACAAAGGAATGAATATACACCGAAGAGCCATTACATTATGACCACCCTCCATCTATAACAATGGGCTCGCCTAGGTTTTCATGGTTTCTCGCCTAGAAACAATGTTTTCATGGAGCCCATTAGGACCCATAATTCTCATAGAACAATCCCTGACGTCTGTAAGCTACTTGAACATAGTTGCAGACCAGGTTCACCCATTCATGGCAACAGTTTTTCCTGCGGGGGATGGTGTTTACCAACAGGATAATGCACCATGTCATAAGGGTCGAATCGTCATGGATTGGTTCGAGGAACATTCCAGTGACTTTCAAGTCATGTCTTGGCCCCCAAATTCACCTGACCTTAATCCAATAGAGCATTTGTGGTCCAACTTGGAAAACTAAATTCCTGCTGCCACGCTGCCACCTCGCAATGTGAGGGAATTGCAGCATCAGTTATTGAGCGCTTGGTACCAGATACCTCAGACCACCTATCAGCACCTTGTGGAATCAATGCCACGGTGGGTGCTAGCAGTTTTGAGTGCTAAAGGTAGTCCTACATGTTATTAGCAGGGTTGTCATAATGTAATGGCTCTTCGGTGTATATAAAGGATTTTTATTACAAAATACCTTGCACACAAAAAAAGTGTGTAAGCAATCCTTATTTAATAGCAAATAAATATGAAAAGTTTTACATTAAAACACCTTAAAAATTCCTTAAAAGAATCCTATTTTTTTTAAGGGTATACAAAGAAAACACCTAAACATTAGGAATTTCACTTATTTTTCCTTACCCAACTTTGTAGCGTTAAATTTGCCCTCAGGAAAATATCCACACTTTCTATCAGTACCAAAGCTTAAATACTCCATCTTACAGGCATCAGCTGGGTTTGTTGTACTCCATACATTGACATTAAAGCTTCCTTCAGCGTTGAAGATAGCACCACACATAGCAACTTCTTTTCTTAAGCATATTGCATAGTTCATGTTTATAAAATACGTGTCTTCATTGGTATCGATATTTCCATAATTAAAAGATTGAAAACGACCTACAGCTCCTGTGTAATACTGAAGACAATGAGTAGGAGCTGCAAAAATAAAATATGGCCTTTTATGAAAATAATAAATATGTGAGACAACAAATAATAGCTGAATCCGAATCGTAGATTTTTCCTTCTTATTACACCACAGTTCTCGCATAAGAAGATTCGATTGTAAACCGTATATCTGCACTCTTAAATATTGCATCAATGTTAATCTGAAACACGAGTTTAACTTTTAATTTACTAGAAGCCAAATAAATTCAACTTCTTGGCTCACATTAGCAGCTTCGATTTTTACTCGTATGTCTACATTCTCTTACATCGCATCAGTGTAAAATCGAATCATCAGTTTAACTTAAAATTTATTTGAAATCAAATAAGTTCTACTTTTGATTTTATGGCAACTAATTCGAATCAGTTTTACTTCTAATTTAATTTAAATTAAACTATTAAAGAAACGAATATTTTTTTGTGTTTTACATGAGTTCTTCTTCCACGCAAATTATTCTGTTCCTAAAAGATAAACTAGAACTTTCAAGTCATACTCTGTACAAAGAAATAAACACAGTTCCAATTAAACAAAAAAAAAGCATAATTTCTCATCTGAGTATAAATAGCAAAATAATCATTGAATGAAAAAAAAATTGAGGGGATGTCTTGAAATTTCTTTTACTTTTTTCTTCTCTTTTTCTTCATTATTTTAAAGATCATTCATACTTTTTTTTAACAACAAACAAAAATAAACCTTATTGGGAACAAAAACAAACACATAAATACAAAGAATATATATTCGTCGCCAAGAGGAAAATCCTGTCCAGGCGACTAAGAAAGGTAACATAAGAAATTCATTTAGATTGGCCAAAGACTAATATAAAAAATCAAATGATTCCTTTAAAGGGAAAAATAGAGATCTAAATCGTCGATGTTTATCACAAATTGAAATAAAGCCCGCTTAAAAGAAAAATATATTTGGATATTTTTCAACTGAAATGGTAATTTATTATATAATTTATTTGCTAAGTAAAAAAACTGTTTTCGTGAAATTTCTTTTGTAAAGGGGAGAATCTCATATATTTCAGTTGGTCTCCCTTCAGACACATTTGTTTTTAATTTGCATATTAATTTATTGTTGTGTAAATAAAGTAAAATACGAAAAAATACATTATGGCGAAAAGGTAATAGATTAATTCTTGTATATATGTTAGTAGTAGTTATACTTGAATTATTTATATTTAGAGAATTAATAATCTTGAAGCATTTATTCTGAACTGAGACTAAAGGAAGTAAATTAGTTTTATATTCACCGCCATATATTATNCTAAATCGTCGATGTTCATCACAAATTGAAATAAAGCACGCTTAAAAGAAGAATAAATTTGGATATTTTGCAACTGAAATGGTAATTTATTATATAATTTATTTGCTAAGTAAAAAAACTGTTTTCGTGAAATTTCTTTTGTAAAGTGGGGAATCTCATATATTTCAGTTGGCCTCCTTTCAGACACATTAGTTTTAAATTTTCCTATTAATTTATTGTTGTGTAAATAAAGTAAAATACGAAAAAATACATTATGGCGAAATGGTAATAGATTAATTCTTGTATATATTATTAGTAGATATACTTGAATTATTTATATTTAGAGAATTAATAATCTTAAAGCATTTATTCTGAACTGAGATTATTAGTTTTATATTCACCACCATATATTATTGCACCATAATTAATTAAAGAATAAAACCAGGAGTAATAGAGTGCTTTCACAAAATTAAAATAAATTTTATTCTTGAGGTGATAAAATTTAACTAAAACAAAGCGCAATTTTTAAGATAAATTGTTATATGTGTTTTTCATTTCAAATTAGAATCGATATATAGTCCTAAATATTTGATATTATTTACAGATTTTTTAAAATCTAAAATGTAGAAAAACTTAATCAAAAACCATATGGTTTAATAATTTAATTATGCCTTAAAAATAGTTTTCTTATTACCCATAGCGGTGCTTCCACAAGGTATTTGAGTAATTCGAATCCTCCATTTTCTTTTGTCGCTCTCCCCAGATGTTGTTACAGTAAAACGAAAAGGACCTGTACTGCTGCTTACTTGTAAGTACACTGAAATGGAAAAAAAAGAAAGAATATCCAAAATTGTAATTTATAAACCCTTTTCTAATTAAAAATGTTCTTACCCCAACGTTATAATACATTGAGAGAACATATTTCAGTTTGGGATATTTATATTATACAGTGCGCTAAATAAAAAACCGAGCACTTTTTTAACTTTTAATCAAATAAACGGATTTTCACACACTAATTATACGATGTAATCTTAATTGTTCAATGAACTAGTCTTAAATATGCTGATTCATTTGAGTCGACGATATTTTAAGTAATGAGATCAAACACATAAGCGTATTTTCTCTAAACAAACATGAGTTTTAATTTTTTTATTTTGACCCTCAAAATATCCGCAATCTAGAAAGTCTGGTCCTTATAATTTAGTCAGGAGAAAGGCCTCTAAATTTCTTTATTTCGCCAGATATTTAACTTCATTTTTTATTGAATCAGAAACATTTTGCATTCGGATATAAAACCCGTTAATCAAAAGACAATTCCAAAGAAACAATTTCTTTTAACAATATTTATAATTTATTTTTTGCGGCTTAATTCAAAAATGGTTGTAAATTTTTAAACAGCAAGACATAAACAATTTCGTATATTTTTAATGTATAGATTTTTAAGTGACAAATTCCGAAATTTGATTGAAATCGGTCGAATAGTTTCTGAGAAATTAAAGTTAAAAAATCAATTTTTTTGAAATTTTATTACTCAACATTCATTATTAAGCCGATTTTACTTTAACATTGTGAATTGTCAGTTAAAATAACATAGTTTAAACTAAAGTAACAAATTTGTCTGTCTTAAAATTTTAAAAAATATAATAATTCTTAATTCGCAGTTAATTTTTAAATTCATTTTGAGTCGAAGAATATAAACATGAATGTATTGTTTATTACAGTGCATATTTTTTTCATCTTCCATTAAATTAAAAGCTAATTCTTTTAAATAAAATAATCTCTGTTTTGCATTCACTACTCTATACTAATAAATAGCTATTGTTTTGGTAAATATTTTAATGTCATGTATGAATAAAATATAAGCAAGTTTTTACATCAATCTATATTAGCAATCTATTAAAAATCAGTTTTATAATTCTTAAAATTAAGTGCATGTAAGGTGAAAATAAATTTTTCATGTATTTCTAAAAAAATAATTCACAAAATTCTGCCAATGGAAAATAATTGATAATGGAAAAATTACCTTTAAATACGTAATTGCTTTATTCAGTTTCTGAAGCAACCTACTTAGATGGAAGCATTGATAAACTTCTTATTTTTAAAAAAATCGTTAAAAATAGCATTAAGCACTTATCAGTAAAAAAATTTTTCAAGTAAATATCTAATTTTAAAACTAATTAAGGTTCATATGATAATACTTCGTACACAGACTTAAATTAGTGATGACACTATTTTGTTCAAATTTCAGAATAATAAAATTTAATTTTAAGGACCAATGTCCAGCCCCCTCTTAAACACTTTATTTACAGAGTACTATGGTCCTCTCTTGGTTATGCTACGTTTAGAACTATATGTTTTTCGCCAATTAAAGCCCTTACACTTGTTTTGAACTATCTTCTGGTAATCTGGGCTTTGAAAACAATTTAAATATTTTAAAAGTAATTGACCTATTTTTCACCAAGAAATTGTTCGAAATTAATGAATAAATTTTTGCAATTTTTTATGAGCTAAAATGACACAAGGGTGGAGTAACTTTCCTAATATTCGATCATTATTTTCCCAACAAAGTAATTTAGCTCCATATTTGAATTTTTGAGGTATTGAATTTTCTTAGTTTTTCCATTATGAGGCTTCGGGGCACAGTCAGTTTTTGGTTTAACCACTGACTACAGAAAGGCTCCATCCAGTGAGTTAGTAGACAGTGTGTCCCCTCATGAAGTAAGTGCAGGTTTGAAAGCAAGACGGAAAAGAAGAAAAGCTGCTAGTAAAGCCGATTCAGTTATAGCTAGTTTTAGGGAAGAGTATATTTATTCTTTCTTCTAGACCATTCTCAACCATACCTGCTTTCGATAAAGAAGCAGTTTTATATATATGATATAATTTTTTGAAAAATATTAGTAGTTACAGATATTTTCTTTTGTCTAAAAAAATGCTAGACTGTAAAGTCTTTCGTACCAGTCTTTGCTCTCTTCCGTCTTGATATTTATAGGCTTTCAGCCCTGATGAAGTGCTGTTTTTGCTAACATACATATCTTTAAAATTTCGTTTAAATTGCTTACATAAAGCATTTCCATTTTGACTTATTATTTTAAAGTTTTTATCCTAAAATTTGTTTAAAACCAATTTTAGACTTAGGTTGAGCTCTAAGCGATATCATAGTTCAACATGCTTTCAAAATGCATCATTTCGTTCCTAATAAAATATTGATTTTCTTTAACCTCTACTTCGAAATACCAATTCGAGGCCAAACAAACATCAAGACGGTAACATTTCCCTTTTGTTTTTCATTTCATTTTCCTACAATCAAGATATCAGTGACAAAACTGGATGAAGGGGTTTAAGAAATAGGATAGTTTTTCAATAAAAGAATGAAAATCTCATAAATCAGACTACGTGTCTCGGAATAATATGCTTCAAATTACTTTTGAAGTAAAAGAAAAATCAATTACTTCAAAGTTCCTGTACTGTTCGTCGACAGCTTCTTGTTACAGATAATTTCTCGTAATAAACTTTTGTGAAAACGACGCATCAATTTCTAATGATGGCTTTCGCGGTCTACAGATTTTATTTCCATTTAAGTAATTGAGGCTATAACTAGAGCATATCACGCTATCATCCGTGATATAACTATACTAGAACGGTACTAGAAGGTGCTGTGCAAATTTAGTGAGGTTTTGAAGATGGCTAAGATTTCCAAAAATAAAGATCATATCATTAGTTGAAAATTTAGGCTGAATGTAAAACTAGATTATAATATCTAATAAAATATCTTTTTCGAATTTTATTAATAATTATGCTAGTCAACAGAAAAAGATTTCTTCCCTGGTAGCATTGTTTCCTTACAAGTTCCTGATGTAATTGATGAAGCTGGTTTAGACCATATCAGGAAATGTCCTTGAAATGTAATTGAATTCAAAAACGAGATATTAAATTTTTGTAAATTTGAATTATTTTGTTTAAAATTTCAAAGATATATAACGTACTGTGCAGCAAAAATACTAAGTGCGTCTAATGATTTTTGTAATTAATTAAATATAAAATGATTTATGTATACATTCTTAGAAAAATTGGTTCAACGTTGAATTATCTCTCTTGAAATATAGTATGGTTCAAACTGCTTAATTAGTTTACATAGTTAAACTTAATTAAAGTTAAACTATGTAAACAATAATTGGAACAAGTTTCCACACTCACGCTAAATCGTAGTACCATGCAATCAAGTTTTAGTTTAGATATTACAGCTCTACATGGCAACGTACAGGGTGTAACAAATTAGATCCCTATTATGGTTCATCACACTCTGAAATTTTTGATAGTGATTAGTTTTTGTTACACAAAAAAAGCTCTCTCCAAATTCCCTATGGAAACGGAAACTTTAGGAAAACTCAATACCTGTGTTTAAGAAAATTCCAATACAATTCTTAAAAATCATTAACGTAATTATAGTTTAAAATCCTTCTGCTCGAAATTTTACTTTTACAGAACTTTTTTTTTAAAATAAGAAATGTATTTTGTTTTACAAAACATTCCCGTAAATTACGCTCGTGACTGAAGAAGGGTATGTAGGGTTAACTGACTGCAAACATTAAGAAGATTCTAAAACCGGAATAATCTTGAAATTTTCTGTTGGGTCACCCCCCTTGTGTTATGTTTACAAAAAGTGTGAACAGGTTTGATATTCTAGTAACTTTCTTTTTATTGGGATTGCATTCACATTACACGTAATTTTACCATTCGTGAAATTTTTCCATATTTTATAGATTCAAAAAGTCATTTAAAGGAATTAATATCCTGACATAAATAAAATGTAAGAGTTGCCATGTTCTGTATCTTATCTACAGTATTTTTTTTCTTGTTTTGAGCTAAAGTTAAATACATTTACAAATTGAATAGCACCAATCATATTTTAAATGGTACAAGTACAATATCAATACAGGAGGTTATGTTTTTAAGCTAGAAAGGAAATAATAAATCAGAAGAGTATAATAACGAATTAGTTAGTAGCACTGTTTAGTATCCATTGTCACAAAACATTCGTTCAGTTTAATTGACATAGCATACTTTTGGAAATTTTGGGGAGCGTTGAACCATATTGTTAGAAAAAATTAATAAATAACAATTTATTTAATTGCGATTTTACCCTATGCAAACAGTCAAATAACCATATATTAAGTTAGTATTCAAACTGTTAACTGTGAGAAAAACTGTTTATTAACAGCTTTCACCTAATACGGTTGAGCAACCAGAATTTTATCACCTCAACTGAGCCCTCCTTATGAAGCCACTTTGTTCCTAGCAGCTGGTTAGATATTATAACCGATAGTGCTAATCTGTCAATCTTATTACCGACAGAACGGAGAGTCGAATCCTAGCGGTGACACCGATAAATTTCCTCTATTCCTTTCAACAAAGGACAAGTTTTCTGTGTCCTGCGCACCCCAATTTGTGACCCTGGACTATAGGAGTACGATAATTCCATACGTGCATAAATGGCAGCGCGATAAAGCTTCTTAGCACAAAGGAGTCTAGTATTTCTCATCTCTTACTGTAGGTGATATAGTCAAATAAACTAATTAAACCGCATTCCACGGTTGATTTGATAAAACAAAACTCAACCACAATCTAACTCTTATGCCATTACATAACAAAAAGCCTTGCTCTAATGTCTAGTTAAATTACGGCTTTGAAACCATGCTAGTTCCGAATGGTTAAAAAAACGTAAAAAAAATAGTTTTGCATTCATGGTTTTTTAACCAAACGATTTCAAAACCATAAAGGTAAAAAATGATCCTTACCGTAAACTTTACTGTTGATTGGATGGACAGTCTGCTGCCAGATTTTACCGAAATTTTAGAATACAAATTCTAACAGTGCCCATAGTCCTTTAAATTTGTTGTAACCTTAATGTGATTCCAAACTGATCCTGATTATAATGCAAATCAATTTTTTTAAACTTGATTACTCGATACACGTTTCAACTACACTACTTGACAATTGCTAAGGAGCAACTGATTTATGTAAAGTAGCGTTCTTCACAGCCGTCCAATAACAGCAAAATAAAGTGTAGAGGGCGTGGTGGAACAGTACCCGTTATATGTATAAAAAGGCAATCACGCAATCTCTTCATTCATTCGAAAATTCATAATGTTAGGTATTTGACCAAAATAGTAGCATAGGTTGTTGAACTTATTTCTATGAAATTCAGTGTGATGCTGCAATTATTAAGTGCGAATGTTAGCAAGATATCATTTCAGTTTTAACAATCGTGGTTAAACGACTGGAAGCAGGTCAAAATATCACCACCACAATAGCCGTAATAATGAGAGAGTCAAAAAGTGCCATAGTGTTATTAAAAGAGACCACTGAAGGTGGAAATGCTCTATGATAGCTTGCTGGTGGTTGTTGATGGTGGTGGTGGTTGTTGGTGGTCCACAACCCAAGAGTAACGATGTGTATCCCCAGTTGCGAAAAGGAGCAGAAATGTCATTTCTAAGGACCTTGAATTTCTTAAATAGCTGTGTCCATTTTCTTAAATACACATTTTGAGCTGTATCTAATTTCTTAAATGCACATTTTGATCTATGTCTATTTTTTAAACACACATTTTAAGCTGTGTCAAATTTTTAAAACTGGCATTTGTCCAGATTAAAAAGCACATCGATGAGTCATAAGATGGCTTCATTTTTAAATAAATTAAGTTTAGTATTTTTTAAAAGTAATTTAATAAGTATCCTAAAACCTTTATTTATTTTTAATAGAACACTATAATGTTTATAACTTACTATGCTGTCCCGTATTTTGACCACATATGACTGGTGCAATGCTATTTAAATCTTGGCCATTTACTGCAAAAAGATCAGTAGAGCACATACCAGATGTTGGTCCCGCAATGTAGAATTCTTCGAAATCCAATTTTAATTGGCATATTTTTGAAAACAGTTTTGGTCGCACAGTAAAACTGCAAACTCCACTGTTACTGGTCCATGTATTAGGGTAACCAGGACTAGTAAAATACGTCATATTTGCAGTCGATGTAGTTCCACATGAAGACGCGTCTGTGCAAAAAATAAACAAAATTAAACATAATGAATATAAAAATATAAAATGTTTTAATAAATCGTTTTATAATTGATATATTGTTAACAAGATACGCTACATGTAAATAAAAATTAAGAGATTTTTATGATTCAAACTATTATTTAACAAGTTTCGTGGTTGTTATCTGTAAAATCACAGAAGGGAAAATGAAATTGTTGTATCGTAAGTACGAAAATGTTTCTGGGAAAAAGCTCCAAAAAGAAAAAATAATTCATAAGTTAACGGTCATTTTTCAAGATATGCTATAACTAAAATTCTTTAACCTTTCTGGTTGTTGTTTATTTTAATAAATTTATTCGTATTTCATATTTGTTCTTGTTTTTACGGGTAAATTAATTTTCTTCTTAGGCCTAGATTTTTAGAATTACTTCTAGATTATCATTTATTTACTTTTTGCACTGAATTTGAACTATTGTGTATTTATGTCGTTATTAATTTTAATCTAGCCTGGCTGAACCAAATTCTATTTGATAGATATAAAGTAATGAATAGCTTATTTTTGTAGTATACGTATAATAGAAATAATAGACTGTTGAAAAAAACAACATAATTACATTTTTAGAACTTCGTAAAAGGAACTAGTTTAATTAATTAAATATTTGCTTAAAAATTTATAAATGCATTTAAAAGTTTTAATCCTAAATTACTCGAGCCTTAATATATTTTAGAAAAAAGCATGGTATTAACGTTTTAAGAAAATACTAATTAAGAACAAATGTTTTATTTATTTAATTACATTTAATTTATGAATATTTTATTACAGAACATTTTTTTTTAAGTATTTGAATTAAAAATAATCAAAATAGCATAGTACTAAAATGAGATACTAACCAATGAATAATTGGGATAGGACAAATTTATATCAGTAAATGCAAATTCAGCCAATTAATAAAAAGTTCAAAAAAGTCATTTAAAAGCCATTACCATGTTTGAAAAATTTTAATTTAAGGGAAAGGTCTGTCCTATTGGGACAAATTTAAGAAAAGTGCTTTAGAAATTGAACAACTTACTCATCTTCCATTATAATAAAGTAGTTTAGACAGAACTATTTCAAAGGAATATTCAAATTAATTATTCGATCGAAATAAATTTCAATTCTAGAGTGTTTTTTCCATTCTTTGTGGATACTGAGGATAAAAATATAATGCATATAAAATTAATACGTTTGCCGTTACGTTATACTTTAATATATTATATTAATACGTTAATACGTTACAAAATAAGTTTGCCAAAAATTGACATTGGTCATTCTTGCATTTAGTAGTAGATAAATAATTTGCTTTACAAGCCTAATTAATTTATCCGTCATAATAAGAAATCATTAAATTACTTTGCCCAAGAATTTTGTAATTAAAAACAAAAATTACACATATTCTAAAAAATGTTTAAAGAATATACTAAATTTCATTTAAATGTTATAATTTAAGTGTGAATAACACTGTAAGGTTTTAAAAAACATATATTTTTTTATTTTTGTAGTGTTCATAATCGATAAAATTTTTATTAAAATTATAAACAAAGACAATAAATACAATTTCAAAACAATCAGAAACATCATAGGTGTGTTATGTTTTGTTTTTACTTAACGTTTAACTTTTTCTTTTTTTTTTAGGTGCAGTCGAACACAGATTTTACATTTTCCATCGGAGTAGCGTTAAAAAACCTCCAAAGGGGGAAAACGTAAAATCGGAAGGGGGGGGGGATTTAATCATACTTCTCAAAAATTGACACTTACGAGATGACTTGGAAATCTTTACTTATTTTATTTTGGTTTTGGATAAAATTTCAACAGTATCTCTAGCAATAGTTACTATTGTTGGCAAATTTGCTTTATGGTTTACATTTGAAAATAAATATTGTTTCAGTGAGTTTTGTTGTTGTTTCTAATCCCCAAGAGGTCCATCCCAATTAATCAAATTCATAAGTCCAAAAATGTCCAGAAAGTCTAAAAACAGATGAGGTTTTAAAAAAACCGCGTCGATTCAGTGAGTTTTAGTATTTTGAAACAGTTGCTGGTATATCCGCCGATATTTTTTATTAATCTTCATCGTTTTCACCACAATCAACGGACAATGCCATTAGTTCAGAAATTGAAGGAATTGAAAAGTAATGGGGATGTGTGTTTCAGGCGATATGCATGTTATAACTTCGGAAGATGTTCAGCCAAGCATTTTTATTCTGAAAGCCCAATATCCCCGTTGAATACCGAGAAACCTATACTATCAAACCAATTTAAAATATAATTTAGTCGAAACTGTCTAATGCTGTAGAAATCAAAATGAGAGTTTCAAGTGCATTTATTTTTGAACTCGAAACATGTTGCAAGTCACCAAAAGCAAGAAAAAAATAAGCTCCCATACTTCCTTTAACTACATTTTCTGTCCATGGAGAAAGTTTTTGCAAGCTTTGTGGAGAAAAAATTATTATGATCGGTTAGAAAAACATATAAAGAAGGATTTTCTTAAATAAGGATAACGCAATATTCGGATTAACATTACATTATCGGTATAGGCAACTTTCACGAACCAGCAGAAAATGACTCAGGAAGCAAAACCGGGGTTAACTTAAAACCGGGGTTCCACTGTATGAATATATATATANTCCATAAACGTCACTACTGCTCTTTATCGGTGTCATCTAGGTCATTCCACGGCATATTGTCAACTGGTTTTCATTTCACCGTAAATTTTTCGCTGTCAATTTCCAATTTAATAGTTCTATTTTCGGAAAGAAGGTTAATGTTTATTTCTTTCATAAGAAAAAAGTACAATTTGGATGTAATGAAATATGAAAGCATTATCGTTTTGTTATAGGTCATTCTATTGATTTTTTTTTCGATCATAAAATATCTCTGGAATAAAATTCTTCGCTTATAAGTTGTAAAAATACCGCAAAGTTTACATCATGTAGCTCAGTGTAATAATTTTTTCAAAGCTAAAACTTATGCTGTCTTACCGAATTGTATGGTAACATTGTAATGTCTAGAGTGCAAAATAAAATAAAATGAATCACCCGTTATAACTTTTGATCTAATGAGCGGATTTCTCGTTTCAGGACTCAATCTTAATGGTTCGTGGGGATGACGTCAATATGATATTTTATTAGAACAGACAAGTTTTAAGTTATGAAATCACACACGAAAACTAACTTTCTCAGACTAAACGTACCTTTATTTACGCACCTCAGAGCGTCCCTCAGAGAGCGATCAGATTTTTAGACGTCTCTGCTCTGTAACTTAAAATATCGTTGGTACTCATTAATTAGCATATTTAAAGTCATTTCTTCGAACCATTATGATAGAGTCTTAGAACACGAATATCTGATCATTAGATCAAAAGTAACTCCGGATGGTAATTATTTGAATTTTAAAAAAAATCCCAATTCTGTAAATATTTTCGTAGTTCTTCGTGATAAATTTAGATAAGCATCGTGGAAAATAGGACTGCTATATACTGCCGTATTTCAAATTTGTTCGTAAGGGGAAGCACATTTTTCTAAATTTTTGTACTGAGTACAACAATGAAACTGAAATACTTTTAATATTATTATACGTTTACATACATGCCTACATTAATAATGGTATCTGTCTTCACAATTAAATAATTAAATTTAAAAAGTGATCAATATTACACGGAAGGAATATAAAGAAGTTTTGAAGTATGAACCTAACCATTGCTTTTTTTACTGACTATTCTAGAGTTATATACTATTTTTTGCTTAATTAACGCTTCTGAAATTACTCAGAAGTATACGAATAATCAAGGTTCAAAAAGAAAATGCTGATATCAAATCTTGCAAAAATGTAGGGGGAGGAGAAGATAAAAAGAAAAGAAAATGTTTAAAACCACATCAAGAATGAACAATCAAATAAATATAATTACTTAAAATTCGTAAATATATATATATATATATAAGTGTGTGCATGTTTTTATTTACTTAAAAGAGGAAAAATAATCTTTATTTAAGGCATTTATAGTGGAGTATCTTTTTAAATAATATGCACTATTTAGCACTTCAAAAGTTTCTCCATTTAAAACTTTCTACTTCATTTGAAACAGTATTCAAATATTAAAGATAGAATATTTTTAACGAAGCAGTTATGCTCTGAAAAATAAAAGAATTCATCTTACAAACGCAACACATTCCAAGTCCCCATGCACAAGTCTCAATTCCTCTACCGCCTCTTTTTATGCAATCCTGTGCTGATAAACAAGTCCCCATTAATCCAGATGAAACTTTGCAATTATCAGTGGCTGATAACTGAGACACCAATTGAAAAATTGAAACTGTAAATAAAAGATGAACAAAAAACATTTAAGTTAACTTTTATGTTAACATTAGCTCTATTTACAGTTGAAATAAAATTCATCCATGGAATCATTTTGACAACGAAATTGAATGTTTGCAAGCATTTTATTTTATTTATTATTTACGTTGCATAGATAGAACAATACATACATAGAAATTCAAAAGCAATGAAAGTAAAATATTTTATTTTCGTACTTTAAATAAAAGGATAAAAAATATTATTTTACTTAAACATTTTAAAGTATATTCTTTAAAAGTTAATCGAAAATAATGCAAACATTTAGTGGGCTATATTAACTTTTTTGATGACTTGAAGAAAAACGTGAAGCTGACAGTAAATTTTGACTTAATAATAGTGAGCAAAATTTAAAATTTCCTAATAATTAATCCATTAAGCATAGTTTTTAAACTGTTAAAAGTATTGGTGCATTACAAATTATAATATAGTTTAAATCTACGTACAACCTTAACAAGGAATAGGCAGAACCATAACTGTACAAGGTAAACGACATAAGTTCACCTAGTGCGAAAACGTGTTTCATCATGAACGGAAATCATTCAAATCATTATTTAATAAAGTATGAGAATATATATTAATATGCTTAAACGTAGAGGTAATTTTCAAGATGTTAACGGTTATAATTATAACGGTTTAGCTTTTAATCAAAGTTTTTTAAGCAAATAAATATTGCAGCAAGTTTTGAATGTCGAATTCCTTAAGTATTTTCTTTACTATGAAAACCAAATAAAATGCGGTTTATGTAGTGATGCAGCAACATCACATTTGTTAAAAAAATTTATACTAAAATCCGACGATAAAATTTTACAAAATCGTAATAAAAGTTTTAGAACTAAAAATTGAAATATTTTCCAAACCTTTTATTATAATGAGATAATTCATGAAATGATTTGATATGTCAAAAATGTAGACCTCTTCAGTAATTATACCACATTATATTACTAATTGATCTGAAATCTATCAAGTAATTACTCTCATGATGAAAAATTTAAGGTTTAACTGCTTAGAATTTTAGAAAACTCTTATGTTCGAGTTTTAAGACTTTTGGAATAAAAACAAAATCTTATTAAAAAATATGAAAAAAAAGGCTTAGGTTAAAAAAAGGAAACGGATAATAGTTTTAGTCTGTATGTTATCAACGCGGAGAAGACATAACTTGAAAAAAATAAAGATCGCATGAAAAAGCACTTTATCACGCTCACATAAACTTGAGTATAGCAGCAAATAATTTTGAAGATAATCTAGAATTGATATCTTTGAAACTTTACGTCTTTCTCTTCCAATAATCTTTTTTTAAGAACAATATTATGATTTTATAAGTATTGATGGAATAATTTAAACTTTGCAAAAACTGATATAACTCAAAAATGCTATGTACTTACCCCTTGCAGTTCTTCCAACTGTATTATTTTTTCCCATTTGTATGGATGTTTTATTTCCTTCAGTGCAAATGCAATCACTCATAAAATAAATAAATATTAAAACACACGTTTGAAAGATGCTAAAAATCATCCTTGAATTCATCACTTTCCAGAGCAGTAAATGAATTTCCAGAAAGTGTCAGCTAAAGCTCAACTGCTTCGTATGAATGAATTAGTTCAACAGCATAGAAGACACTTAAAAAAAGTTTATATAGTCAGATATTTAACTGGTATAGTTTTTTACCCTATTTAGATGAAACATATCTTATAGGCTTAGTCAAGTTTCAGTATCTTGACCTCGAATTATATTGAAAAGGGGACTTGGTTTCTATTCCAAAAAAAAATGTGCAATGTAAATGAGGAAGTTTGCTGTTTTGTGTCAATATTGTCATCCCGTGTGTTTCACTGTTCTTATCGTAATTCCCAAAACCTTCACCCGGATATGAAAATTTCCCTATTACTCTATATCATACACATAAATATTATTTTCTTCCCCTGAGTCAGTTCTTGGAATACATTTAAACATATTGTTTTTCAAAGAATAATGAACTCATAAACTTCCATTTCCTCAAAGGTTACTTTGCTAAATGGTAAATATCACAATAACTACTTTTCAAAAAGTGCATTACATTCTGAGAAAAAGCGGTTCAATGTTTAACCATAATATCGGTACATAGAACCATAATAAAGTGCAAATTTTCCTCAACCTCAATAAAGTGTTAATTTAAACAGCGTTTTTGTTCAAAATAAATAGCATAATATCGTGTAATCAAAGTTAAGAAGTTCGATAATATGATTTAACCAACAACCATATTAATTTTGTTGCAGCAAATTAGAACGATAGTGGATCAACATGCTGAAACATTTTTAATAGTGTATGCAGCTCAAATATTAGAAAAAAAAGTTTAATTTTTTGATTAAATAGGATTTTTTTTTTATTAATTATACTTTTTAAAATGACCTTCTCCCAATGACGTTTCGCTGTTTGAAAAATGGCGAGATATAATGTTAAAGATGAATCTGGAAACACCTTAAAAATTTGGAAATAATCTAAAAAATTTGAAAGACTCTAGATTTGTAGATTTTTTTAAATTTGTTTAGTTTTAATGTCCAAATATTTATCAGCAGGAGAAATATCTACTTGTGCAAATTATGAATTTTTGTGCAGCTCCTCACAAAAAACTTGAAGGCATTTTACTTGAAGTTGCATTCGACCGGAAATATTAGCTAGAATAAATATTCGCCTATTTTCTTCAAACTTAAACTGCATGCTTAAAATTATATTCTTCACAGAAATACGTAAAATAATTACATAATATTTACGTTATTACCAATTTTTCGGTTTATTATTATTATTTTAATTTAGAATTTTTTAAAAGCAAACTCATTTTTGCAAAAATTGGTAAATCAAAAATGCCTACGTACTTTTGTAGTAATTAAATTTCTGTCAAACTGTAACTTTCCTACGGAAAATTTTTCTTCTCAGCAACTAAAGAAATTTAATATTAAACTGCATCGAAATCTGTCAATAAACACAGTTTTTCTGTTACTAAATGAAATTTGCAACCATTGATACAGAGTGCATGTGTTGGGTACTGATTTTTTAAAGTTTTAAATATGAAGAACTTTGGTATCAAAGCGGCAACAAATAGTTTGATGCATTGAAACAAATTTCATCCCTTATGACACTTAAATACGTATGTAGGTCTGAGCTTTTAAAAAATATGGAAAACTATATAAATTCTATCTTTCAAACGTGATGGTTCTCTATGCTCAAAAATCACGTAAATCACATAGTATTGGAATGATTAAAAAAATTAATCAAAATTTCACAACTCTGTTTCAATATGCAAACCAGGGGGTATACAGCTACCTTCGTGGTAAATTTTTCCGCCGTACGTACAAAAGAGTAGTTTGTATCCTGAAATATGGAAAATATGTAGTGTATACAGATATGTTCTGTAATATTTTGTTAGAAGAAATATCTGTCAACTTGTTTTTTCCGAAGCATACGGTTTATCACTGATAACTTAGCTGCCAAAAATTTTTCGTAACTTTATTTTTTTTTACTGTGTATATAATTGAAAAACTTCGTTTTTCATCGCAATCTAGAAATTGTAAAAAATTCTTATTATTATTTATGTTATTTATTTATTTTTTTTATTCAATTTTTTTTCTCAAATTAGTTTAAATTAATTTGAATAAGTAAATTTTTTTTTTCAAATTAGTCTCCAATTCCAAATCCGACTTGAGACATTTCAAACAGCTTGACTTGGACTCCTACGCCAACTTAGACTTTGAAAAAAAATTTCCGCGAATCCTAGAAAATTATAAATCTTCTTACTAAGTAAATGTTAAGTTGGTAATGTCACATTGTGTAATATAACCTAACAGTTGAAGAAATAAATTAAAAAAATATATTTGAATATACTAGATAAACATTTTATGACAAGATTTTTTAGTGAGTAATCATGAACTATGGAACTGTCAAAAATGATAGAACATTTAATTTATTTGCAATATCTTTATAAATAACTTAGTAATTTAACTGATGAAATATGATACTGAAATTTAAATTAAGGCTACTGACTAATGCAAAAACATGATTTTAAACAAAATTTTCAAAATTGAGTTCATTACAAATTTTGAATCTTTGAGCTTTTAGCTTTCTAAAAATTTTTTACTTTTGTTTATACCAAAATTATTTACTAAGTGATAGCAGTTTTTGTGCAAGGTGATAACAATGGTTAAACTAGTGATTTTAAGTCTTTAAATCCTTTTATCTCAAAATCAAGTTTTTTCACATTTTACACCACTTTAAACACGATACCTCATGTTATTTTTAAAGTAATAGTCTACAATTTTGCATGAGTGTTCATGATTATAGCACACAAGTTTAGAATTAGAGACTAGGAGAAAAAAGTAGAATTTCATTTTTAGGCATGTCTTTTAGCAAAGCCAAGTGCGAAAATTTTTAAAAATTTGATTTTTTTTAACTACATTAATCCCTAACTCAGTAGTACATGCACTTGCTTTGTAGATAATAGTTCAAAAAATAGTTCATAGCCTTCTAAATAAAATTCTCAAAGAATTTTTTGTTTTGGAAGGTAGAATTTTTTTACAGACCAAAAAAAATCCTTATTTTTTACCTAAAAATGGCCATTTAAAAAAAAATAATAATAAATTTTTTTTGATAATTTTATAAGTTTGAACACAGAATAAAACATATAAACTGGTTTTTTAAAATTTTATATTAATATTTAAAAAAAAATTGTCAAAACTAATCTGATACCTTTAAAAGATAACTTATTAATATAATTCCTTTATTAATATCTTTTTTTCATTCGTTTCGATACTATTCTGTGTTCTTTTCTTACATTTCAATCAAGCATATATTAAAAAAAGTTCAAATTTGATAAATTAAATTTGTAATGAATTGATAAGTTGTGACTCAAATAATTTTCATAATATTTATTCGAGTAATATTTCTGTTCACAATAATTATAAATATTTGTCTAAATATTTCTACATAAAATTTCGGGTTTGAATTCTAGCAAATATTTCTGATTCCAACTGCAGCCATATTTTTCAACTCCAGCTTCACAACCCTGATAAAAAGGAAGAAAAAAAAATATAAAAACGAGTTAGAACTTTATGTAAAATCAGCATTTACAAAATCCAAGTTTAATGATAGTCAAAATTAGCAAATGACCTTGAATTACTATGTGTTGTTTATTTAGAGGGAAGAGACAGTTACTCTACTTAGAATCTGACTGAATTGTTAGTTTTGTTTTGCATACGAAAGACATTAACATGGGAGTAGTTTTAGTACCTTTTCCTTAAATTTTGCTCTTTTAACAAGTAAAGAAATGTTTTATTTACAAAGGTCAAATCAGCATTATTAATGAAAGATGGAAGATTCAATGGCTAGAAGTATAAGAATAAAAGCTTCTAATTATCAAAATTAAAAGTTAAGCACGATTATTTGGGGAAATTTTATCAAATTAAATATAACTTTCTTCAAAAATGATTTACTTCCTGTTTCTTTTAATTTAAATTTCAATTAATTTTAACTATACTATAGAAAAAAGATCTCCGAAATCTAACAGCTTTGATAAGAATAATGTTTAATGAAAAAATTAAATGTGCATAAGAACAAGATTTGAAAAAAAATACTATTATAGAAAAATAAACTAGTTATTTTTATTGTTAAATCTATTTAATTTTTTAATTGCTGCATATCATTAGAATGTATATCTACGTTTTGAAAGTTTTTAGTAATTACATGAAAATAATAGAAAAATAGAAAGTTAGCAACTTTAATTCCCTGTTTTCGCAAAATAATGATTAATTAAATTAATTTTAAAACTTCGTTCGTGTAATGAAACATAATATTTTAGCTTACTATTGGTTAAACCATAAAAATTAGTTTTCCAAAGACAATACCATCCAAAAAAAAGTTTATATATATTTATTATTTTTCATTTTGTTTTTAATCAATATTAAAAAATCGAATTTTAATAATAAATAAAATTTTTACATCATTTTAAACCAAGTAAGTTTAAATGAAAATTTTATATGAAATCGTAAATGTTCATAAAAGTCATATTTTAAATTTTTTATTTCTCAAGAATATTTCGACAGTCTATATTTGCGATTTTGACATTTAAATTTCTCAGTTTAAAATTGTGTAAAAATTTGTATACATTGAAGTTCAGACTTGTTTCTGACTTTATTAAATTAAATAATAAAATATGATAATTAATCGTAAAAAAAAATATATTTTCCATAAAATTATCTTTGTTTAAGAGATTCATAATTGTATGCACAAAAAAAAATGCTTTTCTAGTTCCACAGTTATAATGAATTGCATAAAAAGAGACATTAATGTTAAGGGAAACACAATTTCAACTTTTCTTCCAATCAAATTACTTTATTATTTTCAATTATTATCAAACCATATTTTCAGATTGCGGTAAACTAAAATTTTCAGACTACAGTATTTTAAAAATTGGAAAATCGAATTCGTTGAATAAAATATCTTATTCAAAGAAAGTACTGTTTTGTGTCTGATTTCGCAACTTTTCAATAATGTCTATACAAACTAATTAGTATAATTTAGGTTTGATCCCGAAAAACGTCTTTTCAACTCCCATTGGCAATCAAACTGATTTTTGATCCTGATTTTCTTGATAAGAAATTACAAATTTGATAACTCATTTGTTGTTCATGCTTAAATACTATTATTATTATTATTATTATTTTATCTTTAATGCACACAGTATTTGGATTTAACTTTCGACAAGGATTAAAAATATGTAAATATTTAAATTGCTGATTGAAGAACACCCTATATATATATATATGGCTTGAAGAACTTAATGAAGAAAATACTAGCTTATTCGAATGCTGGACTACCAATATAGTGCGGGAAAATAGATGGGGGTTGTAATCACTTTTGGTTTCCGCACCACACTTCTCAACCGTCTTATTTCTGCGACATTTTCCCCGAATGCGGTCATTGCACTTCTGATTCTCATCTAAGGAAAAAGGGAACATGAATGATCAGTTTTTCGCGGGAGAATATGCTTCACTAATCAGGTTCTCATATCTCCTCGAAGACAGTCGGAGGTATGGAACCGCAATCGGTGAGAATGCTTCTTTACAGCTCTTCTGAAACAGGGATGTCCCGCAGTGGACTGATCGTTAAGACACGGTTCTCATCAGATCACCGAAGTCAAGCATCACTGGCTGCGGTCAGTGTGCGGGTGGGTGACCCACGGGTCTGGGATTCTGTTTATACCGAGGGTGTGCGGTATTGGTCCTCGTTAAACTGTGCTACCGTAAAGTGCTCGACTTCGCGCGCAGGTCGTCGGGCTACCGAAGCGGGTGCGCCATCCCCTCCGCAGAGGATCAAAATTGTGATGGCATGTCTTCGGATCATCCTCCGGGATGTTTCCCAGACCGTCGCCAATAGCCCATTGTGCAGCTCTAGTGCGACGTAAATTAACAACAACAAAAAAAACACAAAATGAAACAGGAATATTATATTAGAATGGGTTGACAATCGCAGAATTCATCCGATAGACTTCCTCCTGCGTAAATGAACCTCGATCCAAGAAGGAAAAATAGCTTGTTATTGCTGCTAATGTTGTTTTCCTTCAACAAAATTACACATTTTTATTATTACTGACAAGTCACGTCTACAAATGATAACAAAAGAAGAAAAGAGATGCGTATGACATTTTGCTACAGTTTCATTACCTTTCGGCTAGTGGTTTCGTTGAGTGATAATCAGTGGCGTATTGATATCCCAAGTCAGTAGCATACATAGGTGTGGAGAGGTCTGGGTTTAACTTTTCGATTAGATTTCACTGAAAAATTGTTTTTGTTGTAGTTCATTTACGTCGCACTAGAGCTGCACAATGGGATATTGGCGACGATCTGGGAAACATCCCTGAGGATGATCCGGAGACATGACATTGCAATTCTGATTCTCTGCAGAGGGGATGGTACCCTTGCTTCGGTAGCCCGACAACCTGCACGCTAAGTCGAGCACTTTACGGTAGAACAGGACCAATACCGCGCACCCTCGGTCCCTACGCAGACTGATCCAAGTGGTCCTCCACCCCCACACTAACCGGAGCCAGTAATGCTTGACTTCGGTGATCTGCTGGAAGCCGTGTCTTAGTGATCAGTCCATTGCGGGACTTCACTGAAAAGAGTTGTGGAACTACTAGAAGGACAAACAACAACAAAAAATTAATTTTCAAACTACTTTGGAAAGATATATATTTTTAAACTTTAAATTTAAATTCATATTTTAAACAAAAATTTTAAGTAAATTTGCATGCGGATTTTCTTCTTATGGTAAATAATTTCTCTTAAATGTGAGTCCCACAGTGGACAAATCGTAAGACACCGATCACCGAAGTCAGTGAGCATTCACACTGCGTGCAATTGCGAGTGAGAGTGCCTTATCAAGCAACGTTGGCAACCCTTATGAAAAAATCGAGGTATAAATGAGGTATAAACGAGGTATATTTTAAAGGTGTAAAGGAGGTTGTTGTTTAAATACGTCGTAAAGGTTGAAAAGGGTGCAAATGAATACCTCAAAATCAACCTCAAATATACCTTAAATATACCTCCAGAGGTATATATGTTTCAGCCTGAAGTATATTTTTTTACACTTGTGGAAGTATTTATTCAACAACCTAAGGTGTGTCATTTTACACTTCAGGTTATTATAAATCAACCTCAGGTGTATTTTGTTCG